CCGCCTTTGTCGGTAGACGACTGAGGTCCCTCCCTGGCGGCAGGCCTGGGTGCACGCACCCTTACGTACGTTTCCGGTACTGTGAACTCCAAGATGGAAGGTACTTCATCTCTAGGACGTTTCTAAAACATCCCGCAAGGTGTATGCAGAATGCAGCTAGGGGACGCTTTTCCGCTTATAGTGAATAATGAGACCATATATATATCTACACGTATATGTATTTTAATATTCCAGAAGGGACGAAATTATCTTGATATAAACAATCTCAGAAGTAATAAGAAATGGTACAAGAAGTTCAAGACTTTTGATCATATATAGATAATAGATGGATAGATAGATTGATTTCAGAGAGGGAGAGAAACATCAGTGATGAGCGAGAATCACTGATTGCTGCCTCCTGCAGGCCCCCTGCTGGGGATCGAGCCGCAACCCCGGCATGTCCCCTGACTGGGAATGGAACCGGGACCTCTTGGTCCATGGGATGACTCTCAGTCCACTGAGCCATCACAGCTGGGCTAAACTTTTAATCTTTTAATCTTAAGATGTATTTTCTATTTATTCACCAAGTCAACACCTGTGATCCAGGCACTGTGCTAAGGGCTGATTAGTCAAATATAAACAGCCTGGTGAAGAGGCATGTACATAAATCATTTCCTTGGTGTGTGTGCTGTCTTAGGGCTGCCAGTTGAGTTGGTAGGGAGTAAATGAGGGAAGAGGTATCCTTTCTCCACGGAGATATACTTTTTAGAACAATGAGTAAAAAAGTTCACCACCTAAACGAGAAAAGACAGATGTTCCAAAGGGAAGCGACAGTAAACCTCAGGTGAAGCCTAGCATCCTCTGGGAGCAGCAAAACTTAAGGCCGGGGGTGCTTGGGGGAGGTGACCAGAGATGAAGCCAGGGAAGGTTGGCAGGGGCCAGATCATAAAGGATCTTATAAGTCATGCTCAAAATTTACCAGGAACTTACAAATAGGTGATTTTGAGCAATGGAGTAACGTGATCAAATGACAAAGTTTACAATAAATAGAAGTTGGTTTAACTGTTAATTAGGAAGGTAATTTCTCCTTACCCTCGGCATGATAACTTTAAATTGGCATATAAAATAGGTTAAGTAAATAAGGAATACCTCTTTATGCCACTTTCCTTATTCAGATCTTTGTTAGTATTTAGTATAAATGTATTACTCATTTTAATCAGTACCACAGTATTGAACACTAATCACTACCCCATAAATATGAACAAGACTCAGGATAATGGAAACTTTAGATGAGGAACAATGATTAGTTTCCTAGGTTAATAACTTTATTAAAATTGCACTATCCCTTTCTCACCATGCCATCTATAATAATAACTAAAATTATTTATCATATTTTTCCTACTTTTTTTTATAAGTTGGCAATTCACTTTCCGTCAGAAGAGATTCTTCTAGTAACAGCTTCTCCTGTTATTAAAGCAGTTACAAATTTCAAGCAGGTAAGAATCTTTGTATAACTTTCTTACTATTAATTTTTAAAAATTGCAGTAACTTGTATAGCAGGTAGTATAATTGTACTATTTTAATTGTTTAAAATGACAAATGTTCTTTGGATGTTCATTTCAAAATTGTAGTTCAAAGTTTAGAATTATTCAGATTGAATACCAAAAGCACCCAGAATGATATTGAATTTCTAGTCTTCTCTTTTTTTCCTCCTATCATTTCCCTCCCACTCTGAATTACTTTTCAGAAAATTTAAAATAAGGTTTTGGGGAAAGTTGCTATGAAATCTAAATATGAATGCAAATATATACGTGTGTATATTTTTATTATAAATATGTGTGTGCATGTGTATTTACAAATCAGAAGTGCTTCTGAGCCAAGTTTACACTTGTAGATAATTAATGTTGCAAATGTGTGATAAGCATCTCAGAATACTTTGTAGTTCCACAGATTTATATTACACATGTCATAACATTATAATAGGAGTCTAAGGTCATTTGGGTCATAGTGTGATAGAAGAGTGGTCTAGGAAACTAAGGCAGTGACCTCACAGGCTTGCCCAAGAGTGGTAGGACTAGTATTTTGAGTTTTAGTCTTAAAATGCGAATCTAGCCTTCTTTCCACTGTATTTTGTGTAGTTCACCAACTTTCTTGTTGTATGAACATAAATAATTATAGAAAAAAAATGGAACTATTTTTATTAGAATTCTTGAAAAAGTTTTTAACATATATTCTTACCTCTTTGATCTAATACAGATTTCTAAAGTATTGGAAGAGTTTGATGTTGAAGAACAACCAAGTACCATGTTAGAAAACCGCTTTCCCAACATTAAAGTTATAGAATGTGGAGTAAAGCAACTGAAGAGTGAAGAACATGTAAGAGAATTTTTCCTTAATGACATTTTGCTCTGTTAAATCTTGGTGAGGTTTTTGCCTGACTTCCTTTGAACCCACCTATACCACCACCAAAGTCCCTAGCATGCAAATTTTGTGACACTGATTTCCATTACTAGAATAATTTACACTCTTGTGAGTTTATTGGGATTGTGTAATTAGTTTAGTTTTGCCTTTAAGTTTTATCTTTCAAATTAGCATTAACATTGATATAGTGTCCACTGTTTTCTGGGCACTACATTAAGTGGTAGGCACCATAATGTAAGGAATAAGCAATAATATAAGGAATCTATTCCTGTAAGCTCTCAGTGTCATAGGGAATATAGACATGCATACATATAATTATATGGACATGTGAAAAGCACAGTCATTGAAATATTATTAAAGCTCTGCTAGTAGATATTTAGGAAGACTTCACAGATTGAGTAATATTTGAGCTGTGTTTTAAAATATGAGTGTATTAATAGTTAGTGAATTAATAGATGCAAAAGTGCATTCCAGGAAGAGATTGCATCTTCAAAGACCAAAAGAAAGGAAAAGGGGCATGTGGAACCGTGAGGTGGTCAATGGGATTTGGGTGGGGCTAAGTAAAGGAGATTGGCAGACAGGGCCTGAGAAATAAGTAAATAAGATTGTGAAGAGTTTTTTATGTCAAGCTAAGAAATTGAGTTCATTTCCTAATCAATGGAAAAATAGTAAAGAGATTTTAAGTGGAGGCAGGGATGATGAAATAGAAGTTCTTTTAAGAAGATATATAATAATCTCAATAAAGATTTTAAAAAGAAGAGGAAGATATATCTGACAACAGTGTCAAGAATGAGTAAGTGGCTAGTAGCCAGCAACCAAATTCGAAGGGGTTAGCAATAGTCCAAAATGATACAAGGCCAAAACCAAGGCAGTGTGAGGAATAAGGCAGTCTCAGAAAAGGATGTTATCAGGTGATTAACAATATCCTCAAATGAGCTTTAGGCAAGATGTAAAGTAGAGTTTGTATTTGTTTCTCAAAAGCAGCTCTAATTTATGAATTCTCCCTTAGGGATAAAACACATACACCACATTTGACAGGAAAAAGAAATTAAGAAAAAGTACTGAGTTTTATGAGAAAAGAATGAAAAATCTGAATCCAAAAACCAGAGTAAGTTTCTAATACTTATAGTGGTAGTACTTACTCATTGTGACATCCACGTGAATTAATTTGCAAATTGAAGTAGGTTTAAAAGTATACTAATGAGTTGTGAGGAAATTTTTATATTAGGACATTTGAATGAGAGCGCTATCCATTACCATTTGAAAACTGTCCCACATGAGGTATACTAGCATGTCTGCATTCTCTTATCCTTTATATTCTTTAGTGAATTAGAAAAATTCTAATTTTTTCCAAAAATTTAACAGTAGCTAATAAAGAGCTTTTGTGTTTGTTTTCATAGTAATGAAATGAAAATTTATTTTTTAAATTTGGTCAATGCCTATAACTAATTTGTCATATAAAATTCTAACCAGATTATATGAAGGAAAACTTGCATGAAATGTCTGTATGGATTACACTTTGGGTTATTGATTTTATATATTTGTTATGCAGCTAAAGAGTTAACATGGGTGACAAATGTCTCAATGGGTAACAAGTGCTATGTTATGATTTGCCAAGTTTTATAATTCAAACACATGGCACAAAAGTTAACCCCTAAACCATAACAAAGTCCAGCATCTCTCATGTATATCTGCTTTCTAAATGCTGCTGCTAATCTGTAGATTTTCTTCAATATTAAGAAACAGAAACAGTGGATCTCTAATATGTGTTTTAGACTATTGAGGTTATTAAAATTAATATAAATATATTTAAAGCCAGTACATTCTGGATTTAAGTTTAACATGTTTGTCACTTAGGTGAAAATATAATCCCCAAAGAGCATATAGTTTGCTAGGAGAAAGGCTAGTTTTCATCAGACTCACAAAATAATTCATGGCCCTAGAATGATTAAGAATCACTGAATTGAAGAATGTATTCTTATGCTTACTTAGCTTTGTATTTACTGGGACAAAATATTGACTGCCACCAAGAAGCAAGCTTAATATACTTTTTGCTTTTGTGTTTTTGAATGTTTAAAGTGAAATTGTACCCACATATAAATGCTTCTTGCCCCTTCATTGCTCTATGTTTTTACAGTGCATTTTAACAGAAGATGGCAGTCAGCACGTATATAAGAAACTCTGTCTGTGTGCTGGAGCTAAACCAAAGTTGATATGTGAAGGAAATCCTTATGTATTAGGAATTCGTGATACAGATAGTGCTCAGGTAATACTTTGGGGTTGGGTCCTGGCGAATAACACGAAGATTTTTTTCTTAGACATCTTTTGCTACATTTGAATGAAAGTGTTTCACTTACAATGCTAATTCCTAAACTGTAGGAGCAGAAGGGAGGTTTTTGTTTTGTGGCCCATAAACCAAAAAGTAGCTATAAGGTTCTATTATTGTCGATTTTAATTTGTTTTTAGTTGATAATTTATCTTGTTTTTTATTCATGCTGATGTTCTGTGTTCTTTCTGCTATTGTCCCAAATTTAATGACTCTGCTGAAGGGTACAGCTTATATTATGCACACACTTATTATTGTGATTGGGAATATATGATTTGTGACCTAAATAATATAATGATCTTTTCCCCAAAAGAATAAAGCATATCCAAAACTTACAGAACTTACTCTTCAGCAAAGAAATTAATAGTCAGAAGATCTTTGTGGTACAGAATCATGACAGACCCTAAAACTGGAAAAGTCACTCGGTTTATTTTTCTACTCAAGTGATAACTATCCCAGTAAGGTGAAACTCTATTGTGGAACCTTATACAACTTCTTTTGATAACTTATTTCAGGGTGTGTTGGCCTTATTGCCAAGAAGTTCTTCCTGATTTCAAATCACAATACTCTGTCTTCTAGTTCCTTGTTGTTCTGTCCCATGAGGTGATCATTTTACACTTACGTAACAATATTTTGTGTCCTTGAAAATTGATAGTTTACTTTCAGGCTATTCTTAATTAAATAATTAGGAATTTAGAGAAAACTAGAACTTGATTATCTTTTGGTAAACCTTTTGGGATTCATATGACCAAAGATTGCATTCATAACTGTATTCCAGCGAAGCCCTCAACATACAAAAACTCATTGAATCCTCATGATAATTCTGTGTGACAGTCATTACTGCCACTCTACAAATAGGTCATTGAAATAGAAAGACTAAGTAATTTATCATTACTAAGGTAGTTATTAAACTATCAGAAGTACAGTTTAAATTCATGCCATTCATCTCCATGTCCAGTACTCTTTACAGATCTTTCTTAAATTATCTACTCCCTCAATGAAAGACAAACTAAAATTAATTTAAGGTGTTTTATTGTTGTAGAAATTTCAAGAAGTCAATTTCAGTGGTTATTTATTGAATATTACAATAAGTTTTGGGGTCAATTTAAGAGAAATGGTAACTTGACATAGTAGGCAAAGGAATTGAGCTATTCAGACATCATCCTGAAGCAATGGTACTATTCTGTACTTTTGAACGTCTCCTAAGAGTGACCCACTGGCTTTTCTCCAAGTACATTGTGCTCTTTTTAGAGAGGGTGGTGGTAGTAATTAGCTGCCTTATAATGGTAATAACATTTTTTTAAATAAATGGTAGACATTATTATGTGTCTGCTACTCCTAACAGCCTTATGTACATCATCTTACTTAATGCTTACAGAAACCTTGAGATTTAGTCACTTCTTTTTTTAAAAATATTTTTATTGATTTCAGAGACGAAGGGAGAGGGAGAGAGAGATAGAAACATCAATGATGAGAGAATCATTGATTGGCTGCCTCTTGCATTACCCCCACTGGGGATTGAGCCTGCAACCCAGGCATGTGCCCTTGACCAGATTTGAACCTGGGACCCTTCAGTCTGAAGGCCGACGCTCTATCCATTGAGCAAAACCAGCTAGGGCGAGATTTAGTCACTTCTTAATTCCATTTATACTTGAATGTGAGGTACAAGAGGATAAGCAACTTGTCCATCATTCCCAGTTAGTAAACTGCTAGAACCAGTTCCTCTAGCGTTTGTGCTCTTAACCACTTTGCTGCTGTGGCTCTCTTCCTGCAAGTTTTAAGTGCTGAGTGACTGCAGACAGTATCAACTGAGGAACTAGAAGAGGAAGAATCCTGTATCTAGGATATAGATCAATGTTTGTTAGTAAATTGATTTTGTCAAATAGTTGAGAATTTAGTAAACTAAGACAGGGCCTCCTGCTGAAATTCTGAAGTAGTACTCTAATGACATAAAAACAAGGAAAATCAGGAGAGGCATTGCTGTAAAGGCAGTGTAGGGTGAAATGTAGAGGAGAATTTGTATTAATTGGAAGGGTGCATCCCGGAAGAGTGGGAAAGTGAGATTTATTATCAGAGAAGCCTCTTGCTTCCACTATTGCCCACTATACAAAACCCTGTGTCATTTTCTTTTTAATATAGGAATTTCAGAAACAGCTTACGAATGCTAAAAGAATAATGATCATAGGGAATGGTGGTATCGCACTTGAATTAGCGTAAGTATATATTTTTAAAAATTGCTCTGTGATTCATGTAATTGTTGGCATACTAGAAAAGATCTTGTTATCCTAAAAATCAAAGATAATATTGTTTTTAATGTATTTTCAAGAACAGAAATCCACTTAATTTTTTTTAGCTTTCATGGGATTCATAGTTGCAGAAATGTTGTCAGAAAACATGAGTTTAGGCAGTGCTTTAGGTCTCAAAGGGTCATTAACTGGTAACTGACTAGATTTGAACCATCCTATATAATCCTATATAATAAAAGCCTAATATACTAAGTGCCCGACCCTTCGTTCCACCAGTAGCTATGATGCGCACTGACCACCAGGGGGCAGACGCTCCAACCGGTAGGTTAGCTTGCTGCTGGGGTCTGATTGGGACTGGGCAACATGGGCCGGACACATCCTGGAGCCCTCCCGCAATCCTTCCCTTGCCCCGATCATGCACCAGTGGGGTCTCTCCGCCTGGCCTGCACCCTGTTGCAATCCAGAACCCCTCGGGGGATGTCGGAGAGCTGGTTTCAGCCCGATCCCTTGCAGGGCAGGCCGAGGGACCCCATCAGTGCACAATCCATGCACCGAGACTCTAATGTTTTATAAGCATGTATTATATTAAAAAAGAATCTGAATGTGTACACCTTTAGAGATTTCTAGTCATAACCCCCACCACTTTTTATTGCTTATACCCATCCTGTTATGTGAACACATTAATGAATATGAAATATTATTTTAAAATATTTCAAGTTCAAAAATCATCGAAGACTCCTCTTGTAGTCTACAGAGCATTAATTCACTTTCTTTGTGATTTTATCTTCCAGCAGATAGCTGACATGAAATAGTATGGGTATTTTTCAGACTAGAAAATTGGGTCCAATTACAGATAGGACAAATTTATATTAAAATAAGGAATCTGCTCAAGCCCTGTCTTTGCTCAATTTCATCCATTCCAACTCTCAGACTAGGTTTTTGCCCCTCTTTTTTAGAGGATGATGAATCCCATTGAAAGCCTATAAGAATTCTTCAATTGCCTGAATACCAGGAATGGCAGTCATTATGAATTTTGTGGCACTGTGCAGAGAAATGCAGAGGAAAAACTAGAGCATCAAAACTAGACTGGGCCTTAGGGAGGAGGCACAGATGTAAGGGGGGCTTCAAATTTTTAGTGCACGTGACAAATTTTCTCCACGTATCGCCAAAACTATAACTTAATACTATTATTATTTACAATGAAATGCTTTCTTACCTTAAAAATGTTCAAATTCTCACATTTGATCTTATTCCTTCTGTAATATTCTTTGAATACATAAAATGTCTGTTACCAAAGAAGTCAACTATTCTCAGTATGGTAGCTGTGTACCATCCATCCATCATCGATTACACTATTACCAGATAAAGCATTTCTCACTCCTGGGACCCTGCGGACATTAAATAATAACTATGTTGTAGAAACTGAACACTTTGAAATGATATTTATTGTAATGAAACTTTACCTGATGTCCAGTATATATATTTGTCCCTTACATGTTCTTGGTAAACTGGTTACATTCCTTTTGTTATTTGTTCTACTTTAACTCTTATCCTGATCGTTACATTCCTCCTTATAATCATTTTTTCTGAGTTTGCCTCAAAATACTTTCTTTACTTGTGCCTTAGGAGAGAATTGTTATTTGCAAGTACAAAGATTTCTACTCATACTTTTGAAATTACTTTAAGTAACTTTAATATTCCTTTTAGGTATGAAGTCGAAGGTTGTGAAGTAATTTGGGCCATTAAAGATAAGGCTATTGGGAATACTTTCTTCGATGCAGGAGCAGCTGAATTCTTGACCTCAAAGCTCATTGCTGAAAAACCAGAGGCTAAAATTGCACATAAAAGAACCAGATATACAACTGAAGGTAAATACAGAATCTGACTCATTAATTCACAGATAAATTTCTATTTTTTTAACCATATAGAAAAGACTATAAGAAAATTTAGCAAAATATATTTGGGTGCTAAGAATATAGTATCTTTATATGACTTTAGATTTTCTAGAATTTATATATTTTATGAAAAATATGTATAATTAAAACGAAATTTAAAGTGAATTAAATAAACCAGTCTATCTGCATCTTTGTAAACAGATGCTACAACTAGACAAGACCTAAGGTAATTTTATAAAAATGCAATGAGTTTGAAAGCAAATACAAGCTTCATGATTTTTTAGTTTACAGAGGTTTAAAAAAACAAACACATAATGGTTTGTAAAATTCAAGAATTTTATAAGTTTAGGGCATCCCAAAAACTGACAACATTTTCAAAATCTGTTGGCTAACATTCTTACCCTTCATATTAACCAGTGAATATAACATCCCAAAAACACTATGTTTATACTCAATACTCAATTGAAAGATTATCCATTTTATATCTCTACATCACAAAATATTAAAATAAATAAAATTATTACTACAGGGGACTTTGTTTCATCATTTGGTATGTACTTATGCATGAGAATCATTATATTGCCTAAAAGCTGCAGAACAAGCATAATTATCTGCCTGGCAGATAGTTATTTTTATATCATTTGAATTTTGAATTAAGTTTATCTCTTCAGGAAAGAAAAAGGAAGCAGAAACCAAAATTAATGCTGGTAATGTAGGCAGTGCCTTGGGACCTGATTGGCATGAAGGCTTAAATCTTAAAGGAACAAGAGAGGTATGTTTTCATATACTAATTAAACATGTCTAAATGCAATTTTAAATTCTTGAACCCTTTTTTTTTAAGACTGGTTACAAATATGTAATCAAAGAATTGCTAGGTCCCTTTACTTAAAATCCATAGTGCTAAGAAAGGAGTTGGCCTACATGCCCACCAAAGGTAGGTGAATATTAAATTTATCTAACACTCACTCTCTGCCTTTCTAACTCCCCAGAAGTGGAGATTGCCATACACAGACCACAGTGAAAACACCTGTCCTATTTTAAATTAATGTTTTCTCAAAAGTTACTTCAGATGCATTTCAATATTTAAAGGTTAATAGATGGATTCTAAATAAAATATTTCTCTTTTAGTTTTCTCATAAGATTCACATTGAAACTATGTGTGAAGTAAAGAATATCTATCTTCAGAAGGAATTTAGAATCTCTAAGAAAAAGTCCTTGACATTTCCAAGAGACCATCAAAATGAGTTAGTTACAACTGATAAAGGTAAGTGATAAAATAAAAAGATATTTAACTGCTTATTTAAAAGGAAGGCAGCTTAATTTTTATTATTATACTAGAGGCCCGGGTGTGTGTGTGAGGGGGGGAGGGGGGCCTCAGCCTGGTCTGCGCCCTCCTGCAATCCAGGACCCCTTGGGGGATGTAGCAGTACGCCAAGCGGCAGGCAGCCAGGGTGGAGCCCCGGCCCACTGCGCCTGCCAACGCAGCTTGGTAGGAATGCCACAGAGTTGGGAGCTTGGGAGAAGCTCCCACTGCTGCAGCTGCACACGCCGGCTGTGAGCCCAGCTTCTGGCTGAGTGGCGCTCCCCTTGTGGGAGCACACTGACTACCACAGGGCAGCTCCAGCGTTGAGCGTCTGTCCCCTGGCGGTCAGTGCACGTCATAGCAACTGGTCGTTCCGGTCTTTCGGTCCTAAGTGTCACTTAGGCTTTTATATATAGAGATTAAAAACCAACTTCAGACTGCCATATAAAATTTAAACATGAAAAGTAAAAATAAATGATAATTGAATAAGTCATTTTATTTTTATAACTAACTTAAAATTTTCTAATAAATTGTATAGGGCTTTACTCACTGTGTTTTGACTGTCATAACCCTGTGAGTCAATCAGAATATCTTGCAGATCAAAACAAAACTAAAACTAAAAACCTGATGTTCTCAGAGGTGAAGTGACTTCCCCAAAATCAAATAGACTGAAAATGTATAAATTTCTAACTAAGACACAGTTCCACTCTTGTGAGAATACTGCCATTTGAGGAAAAACACTCAGCCAAGCCTAGTGTATGATATTCCAGTTCTAAATTCTTTGAATTCTTCCATAGGAAAAGGGAAAGTTTGAGTATGAATAGTAAGGGAAAACATTGAAAAGTGAGTAACCTAGTTGGACTAAACTCTCAGAGGAACATCCTCTATTAATAAAGATTTTTAAAGAAATAATTTGTAAGATGATTACCAATTTAAATTTACTTGGTTAGATTTGTGTCTAAATTTGAAGGAAAAATGTTTAGAATGCCATAGTTTTGTAATCATACCCAAAACAAGGAGATGGTGTTAATTGTATTAAAAATTGTGTTAACAAATGTGCCTTATGCAAAATATTAAGGGATGTTGTTTTAAAGTCATCTCCGGCCTTCCTTTTTATTTTTCCTTGTTCTAGTTATTATATTCACATAATGTTGTGAACAGTTGGTGGTGATTACATTTGAGAATAAATTTTTTTTTTAAAGAGATATGGCCTGTGTATGTGGAGCTGACCAACGAAAAGATATATGGCTGTGATTTCATTGTCAGTGCTACAGGAGTTACACCAAATATAGAACCTTTTCTCTGTGGCAACAATGTAAGGTGAAATTTTTGGTCCCACTACACATATTTTTAAAGTATTAATTATTTATTAAGCTCTAATTCTCATTCATTGTGTTAGTATAAAACTGTAACTTAATGACTAAAAAGAATTTAATTTATATTCATATCTTGATTTGCAATACTTTTTTAAAAATAAAGTTTTATTGATTTCAGAGGACAGAGAGAGAGAAGCATCAATGATGAGAATCATTAATTGTCTGCCTCCTGCACGCCCCCTACTGAGGATTGAGCCTGCAACTCGGTCATGTGCCCTGACTGGGAATCAAACTGTGACCTCCTGGTTCTTAGATCAATGTTCAACCACTGAGCCACACCGGCCAGGTGATTTGCAATACTTTTTTACTGCTTAAAGTTCTTAAGCAGTTAACATTCCAGCATAGGTGTCATTATTGATGTGACATAATGCATAACTTATTTATATAAATATTGGTAAGAGACTGATACCACATGAATTCTTAAAAGTGCTATTTTGAAAAAACTCTTAATAATTTTTTTCTTTTTAGCATTTGAAGCCTAGAAAAACGGAGGAATATTCTTGTAATTATGAGTGGGTTAGTTGTATGGTTACTGGGCATTTTTGATATTGAAATTCTCAGAATTTTATGAGTTTGCATCTTATGAGGAATTTGATTCCCTGGAAATTCAGCTTAGTTGCCTAAACTTTCAGCTATTTTTCACTTTCTCTTTAAAGATCAGCAAATCATGATGTAAAAATTTTACTTGTTCTTTTACTTTAGAATGAAGTCATGTTTCATTTTTCTTACCATTTATGCTTATGAGGAACATTGTTTAGTTTGATCTAGGAGAAGACGGTGGCCTGAGAGTGGATGATCATATGCACACATCCCTTCCTGATATCTATGCTGCAGGTGACATCTGTACTGCTTCCTGGCAACCCAGCCCATTCTGGCAGCAGGTAAGCCGCATACATGATCACGTTTTTTCAGAGACTCCATCTGAAAACAAGGAGTTGCTACCACCAAATCCAACTTTCTGGTTTTCCAAATCTCCTACTTTAAGTAGGAAGCTATCATAGAGGTTTTTGTGACATAAAAAAAAAAAAAATCAGAATGTTTCCCTTTTGGTGAGTGATAGAATTACAGTGATAGAATAAAGAGATATCTTTCAATTTAAAAGGAGTCATGTGCTGTTACTTTTTCATTCTCAGATGCTTATCAGCACTGTCCAGTGGAACTGTCTATGATGACAAAAATGTTCTGTTCTTCTGCATTGTCCAGTCAGGTAGCCACTAACCACATGTGTCTGTTGAGCACTTGAAATGTGGCTAATGTGATTGAAGAACTGAATTTTACTTACTTTTAATTAATCTAAATAGTTACATATGGCTAGTGGCTACCATATTGTACAGTACAGCTTTATACTAAAAAAACGAAGTTTCAGAGATTATAAGCCATATAGATAAAGCATTCTGTTCCTGATGACCCTGTTCTGTCCTATGGGAATTACTACTGAAAAAAAAAAATGTTCCTGTAGTGAACAGCCTTGCTCAGCCTTTAGCCTAACAGCTGCTTCCACCTGGCTCTAGACTTCCTCCTGCCCTCACGTGTTGTTGCCTACTTCCAAAAATACTAGAGGAAGATACTCCGTGGCTATAGGTGAGGTTGTCTTAGGAGCAGTAAAGATGGGTAGATATTAGAGATAAAAGAACCAGTCAGTGCCTCTCTTGGTGAAAGACCAGCTCCACAAGTAGCAATATTATTCATTCAGATTAACTATGGAGTGTGAAGTATTGGAAAAGCTAGATGTTTTTCAAGAGGCAGCTTCATTGGTTTGTGTGTTGTTTTTTATGTACAGCAGAGCTATAACATCAGTGATAAGAGAGCTTCTAAAATGCTTCAAACTAGCTTGTTTTCAGTTTTCTCTACAGTCATCATGTCATTTATGTAGCATATCTGTCACAAACTCTCAAGTAGGAATTGGAGTTTAGGGGGATTTAAAAAAACAAACATTTAAAACCCTCTAGGATAAATCATATCTTCAATGTGTGCATCATTAGAGGAAAGAAATATCTAAAAATAAATAGGTGTCTCTTGTTTTGAGTAAATCTTAATAGGTCCCATCGCTTAATTTACAGAAGCAGTAAGTACACTAGTAATTGTTTTACATAGTCCAAGATGCAAACTTAAGAGACTTTGAAGCAGGAATACATCAGTTAGGTAATAGGCCACTGTCTTGAGCCGTCCTCTGGTTTTACCGTGCTCAGTTTACTCTGCTTCTTTACCAGAGACGGCCTCTTACTTCATTAACCCTAACTTGTTTACGTGGAGAAGACTGAATTAAAAAAAAAAAAATCACTTCTGTCAGAAATCCTTGAAGCTTATATTCATGATTGTGGTATTATATTTACACACAAAAAGACAGCATTAGCTACACAAACATAGGGGTATAAGGGTACTATTGCTTATTATAGGCTAACCTATTTAATTTTCCCAATAGCCAAGGAGGAGGTGGTATATGTTTATATTTCAAGTGAAGAAACAGGCTCAGAAAAATTAAATAGGTACAGTTGATAGGCAGATCTACTGACTTCCAAGGCCAGTGTTCTGTTATACTAGAAAATCCCCAAAATTTGTAGAAATACAGTAAAAACAATACAGAAGAAGTTAATACTGCTGTAGAGAATTTTAAATGACTTCCCAGAATCACTTGCTGAGATCTGAAATGATGTCTTGGGGTTAGGCACCAAGTGATAAATCTGTCTGCCCACTGAGGTAAATTGCAGGGTAGGTCTTAGCACCAAGATGAGGGTTAGGAGAAGAAACAAATTTTTCAGTGATAATTTGGCATCTCTATTAATGCTGATGAGAAATTTATTCTGAAGTGGAGACTGGTTAAAATGTTATCATCTGGTGTAACCTGAAATATATTTTTAAATAGAAAATTTATTGAAATGTAAAAGTTGGTGTCATATTTAATTTTTGAAGCAGTATTTAGGTAGAATTATCAGATACCAAAATCAAATGCCAATCAGTGTGGATGGGGATTGCTTCTATGGCAAAGATGACCCAACCAAACATGTAACCAATTTAACCGATCTAGACCTAACCAATCTCAAGGACTGTCAAACATTGAACTCCATTAAGGAATGTTACAAGGTTAAGTGATAACATTTTTCAAGTAATGATAATGAAGTTACACTGCGTTACATTTTTTATTTCAGATGAGGCTGTGGACCCAGGCTAGACAGATGGGATGGTACGCAGCGAAGTGCATGGCTGCAGCTAGTTTAGGAGAGTCTATTGACATGGATTTCAGCTTCGAACTTTTTGCTCATGTAACAAAGTTTTTTAACTATAAGGTAAGATAGATAAGCAAATTAGTGCCTTTTTCTGCTTGTTAGTAACTGATTATAATCATCAGATTTTCTTGCTTGAATACAAATTCATATGGTTTTAATCATTTTACCAAGAAAAAAATATTTTCTTATTTTATGCAAATCAGTACTTGGTATTATTGCTGATCTTAATTCCTAACCATCAGATAATCATTACCTCCCTTCCCACTGTAGTTTTACACTTTACAGGGACTGTTCCCTATTGGTGCATTTCTAATTTTTATTTGAGATTCATTATTTCTTTGTGCAGGAAACTAATAGCTGTCATACTCAAGAGTGAACCAAGTTATTTTCCATACATATCTTAATCCTCTTTACATTAGTCTGAGGCTAGTTTTTGTTCCTAACTTACTGATAAGGAGAAACATACACAAATACACACATATACAAGGTTCAGGAAGATTAAATAATTTGCCATGAAAGATCTAACTCAGTTCCTTATTAAATCTTTAAATCATGACTCCAGGCTAATGTGGTCCATATTCTACATATTTGTATATTCCATAGATAGATAGATATTTTAATCCTCACCTGAGGATGTGTTTTTTAAATTAATTTTAGGGGGGGGGGGGGGAGGAGAGAGAGAGAAAAACATCGATAGATTGCCTCCCATACATGCCAACTGGGGATCTAATCCACAACCTAGGTATGTGCCCTGTCTGGGAAATGAACCCGCAACCTTCTGGTGTATGGGACACCGCTACAGGCAACTGAACCACTCATCCAGGGCTTCACTAGATATTTTTAATGTTCATAGATCATATGGCATTATCATCTGTAGAATAAATGCATACCGTTCAAATGTTTGGGGGTTTTTTGGAACCTGCTCCAATGACGCTTTTAGCTGTAAAATTTTGTGAACAGATTTTTCTGCTGGCCATTCTGGCATAACACAAAATAATTGCCTATTATGTTTCCTTTTAGGCACTCACTCGAATAACTTTTTTTTTATCCCTACATGTATATTTATAGGTTGTATTGCTGGGAAAATACAATGCACAGAGCTTGGGTTCAGATCATGAATTAATGCTGAGATGTACCAAAGGACAAGAATACATCAAAGTCGTCATGCAGAATGGACGAATGATGGGAGCTGTCTTAATTGGTGAAACCAATTTAGAAGAAACATTTGAAAACTTGATATTAAACCAGATGAATCTTTCATCATATGGAGAAGATCTACTAGATCCAAACATTGATATAGAAGATTATTTTGACTAAAAAGAGCATTTCAAGAACCACATAGTTTCAAATAAGACAAAATGTCAAGTCAATGATGTGAAGGACTGCACTGATTTAATGGTGACCACATTGAAGTTAAAAATACACAGGTGATAATGATTTTAGTGGAAAAGTATTTAAAAATAAAATTCTAAAGAAATCAGTTTGGATAACTTACAGATATATTTTTTTCTAACACAAAACTGACCTCTCACGACCACTTATGTAAGAATTTTCACGTTACTCATTTATGTGCTTTAAACTTAGACACGTTCACTTGGGATTTAATTTTGGAGCTAGGTTGGTCTAAAAAGAGCAATTCTTTATGAAATGTCAAAATAGGGCTATGGTTTCAAGCTTAGTTTTATTTTACTTAAATAGAGACATCGCCATCTTACTAATATTAGTATTGATACCTTATTACTCTTTTTGTGTGGATTCTACATCTGTTTTAACCTGAGGGTACTCTTTGTGATGAGCCTATGTAAAATTCTCAGTACAACAACACTGCTGTCAAAAGATAGTTCTGTCAAAAAAAAAAATTACAAGGCATAAAGAGCTTAAGATAGTTATGTGAACTTACTCCCTTAACTATTTTACATTTAAAGGGTTTTACATTAAAAATTTATTTTTCCCCTCATTTCACACTGTAAATGTATGCAGTTCATGCTCTTAAATTTTCAAAAGTTCTCAAATTCTCAAGTCTCCAATACTTTAGAGAGAAGTTCTTAAAATACAGCTTCACATATATAAAATATTAATGAAAGTGTCTTAAAGTTTAAGCTACAAAAATAATGGTGCATGCATGCATAAACTGTTTTCTTGGAAAATTTAGAAACATTCATCTCATGCATCATCAATTTTTCTTTTCTTAGCCCCTGTATTCTTAGTATCAGATTGCTGAAGTATGTTTGCAGATTTCTTCTGGAAGTTGCCCGAATTTTTTCCTTCCTTCTTTTTATCAGATCCTTCAGAATAACAAGTTTGAGATGATTCAATCTACAAAACAATAACAAACACCCGGTAAAAATTCAGTTAATTTTGTTTTCTCATGAGATTCATAATCTCACTAGTCCTGTATCAGTTAGCTCTTGAAGTGTCCAGTGGTCTGGTTTTCTATCTTCAAATTTCTACTCACATATGAGTCCCATCTTAAATAGAAGGCTCTATACCATCAGAGAAACCATAAAGAACACCTAAAGTGTCCTTAGACACAATTGTATATGGCATGCTTTTGCAAGCTTGATAGTACTTAGTTTATAACTGCTTTTCAACCTCTACCACAGAGGCAGACTTCTCAACCAACATTGATCACATGAGAGCAAGGTGTATCACAAAATTAGATATTAAAATGGAGTCTTCACATTCCAGAGGTTAGAAATTCCTCTGTGTTAAAAAGCTAGTCTAAATTCTCCCATTTTATGTCTTCCATACCCAGATTCTAAGAACACTGACTTACCTCTTATGTTCAACTGGACTTAGGAGAGTACTAATTAAAGAAAAGCATCCATAGGCTTTAATGTATTTTTTAAATATTTGAAAATAGTTACCCTTTGCCAAAACCGGTTTGGCTCAGTGGATAGAGCGTTGGCCTGCGGACTGAAGGGTCCCGGGTTCGATTCCGGTCAAGGGCATGTACCTGGGTTGCGGGCACATCCCCAGTAGGAGATGTGCAGGAGGCAGCTGATCGATGTTTCTCTCTCATCGATGTTTCTAACTCTCTATCTCTCTCCCTTCCTCTCTGTGAAAAATCAATAAAATATATTTAAAAAAAAAAAAAAAGAAAATAGTTACCCTGAAATAGGTCTGCGTGGACTTCTTTACTTGCATAGTAATAACATGCGCCTCGTTGTTCAGAAGATGAGCTTTAGGTCCTGTTTTCAAATAGGAAATGGTAGCGTAAGCTGTAAAACTGTAGTCTTCTCTGCAGAAGATAAAGACCACCAATCAGAGAGGTTTTGAGGAGTTATAGGAAACAAAAATAACCATAAGGGCAATAATTCTAAGTCATATATTGATAGGAAATAATGAAAAATACACTACAAAAATACAGTTTATCTTTATAGAAAGTATTTTCATTTTGTGCTTTTTTTGACACTAATCAATTATAGTTGGAGTTTAAGTACATTTTGTATAGTGTTTAACATTCACATGAAACAACCACAAAACCATTTGTTTTGAGGCATTTATAAAAATGAGAAATAATCATAAAGACACATCACCTTTTGTGGAAGAAAATATTTTCCCAATTTTTTATTCTTGTGATTGAATAAGTCATCATTCTTATGGTACTGGTTTTAGACATTTTACTATTTTATTTCTTCTTAAGTTTAACATATCTTCTATTTATGGCTGTACTGAGATATAACTAATGCCTATAAATTCTGTTTCCTTATTTCTAAAATTAAGATAGAATATCTAGTCTCATCTCACCATGTTGCTAAGGTTAAATGAATATATGTAAAAATTGTAATATGTAAAGTATGCTGTAATTATTATCATTATTGTTATATATCCAAATTAGAGTTTTTCTTAAAAGTAATCTTTTTGGAAGAATATATATTTATTCCATGAATAAAAAAATAAAAGTAGCCCGGCCGGCATGGCTCAGTAGTTGAGCACTGACCTATGAACCAGGAAGTTTCGGGGCACATGCCCTGGTTGCAGCCTCGATACCCAGCTGGGGGCATGCAGGAGGCAGCCGATCAATTATTCTGTCTCATCATTCATGTTTCTATCTCTCCCTCTTCCTCTGTGAAATCAATAAAAACATTTTAAAATAAATAAAACCGTGTACTGTTTTAAAAAAAATTGTAAAGACAACATGAAAGGACAAGAAGGGGGTTGGTATATACTTAAGATACTGCTGTAGAAGAAAGTGCGCAATAATTTTCTCCAGGTCTTCACGAGGGAGTGTGGGAGGAACAACACCTGCTACTCTCAATTTTGCTGCTCCCTTTCCCATCCAAGAATCGATCAGTTTCAGTGGAGTGAGCTTTTCATTCATTTCCTCTGCCTGCTGCAGGATTTTGATTAGATCTCTGCAGTAGGCTGTTACATTCTTTCTTTCAAATGCTATAATCAAAGAGGCATAGTTACAGACAATTGGGATTGAGAAATTAGGGCAAAGATAGTCTATCCTAAGTGGTTAAACTGGTTTCATAACAAGTCATTGTGAGCCACCCTACACATTGGTTTATTAATATGTTCTGAATTAAAACTAGGCTATTCCCCAAGTCTGGCACTAACCTAAGTTGTAAGTTCTTTAAAACACTGAGAATTTACAGCGATGTAAAGAAAATAACCTAGTATCAGAAGGCCTTTGGGTGTGCTCTGGAACCAAAGAGTATTTGCCAGACATGATGATGCAGATACTGAGAGGTGTTAATAGGAGAGTCAATCTATTCTGCATATTTACCTGATGTGTGCTCATTAAGCAATTTCCTGAAAACTAGTATGGCCTCACAGCTAGTCTAATACAGAGACAAGAATGTCCTGAACAGATATCCCCAATTATTGGTCTGTTTTATATATCAGACTCTTATTAATTTGGTCAGCAAAACATGCTCTAATAAACAAGTTTCTCTAGGTGTAAACTTAAAATACTGATGACCTTCATCCACCAAGGCATCAGAACTCAGGAACTGGTTAGTCCAGCTCTTCGAATACAACCCCCAAACACAGAGTGAAATAAAGTTAAAATAATAGTATAGTTTTAAAACTTTATTTTCCTAATCAGTTACTATAAAGTATTAGAGATTATCATGAGATTAGCCTTATATAAATAGCATTTCTATTCAGACAATTTATTCCCTTCATTTCTTAAAAATTTCACATGCCTTCAGTAATAGCAACATAAAATATATACACACAATATGGCTTTTCCTTTTATTTGCCTTTGTTTCAAAACCATGTTGTTACTTTTGAATCTGGCAAATTCTATTCACACGTTGTTTAATCTTTTAAATCTATTTTTAAATCAAATACTGCCCTCATGTAGTCCTACCCATCTATAATAATAAAAGTGTAATATGCTAATTAGAACAGATGACCTTCTGGACGAAGCCAGGGCTGTGAGGGCCGAGGCAGCCGCCACGGCTGCAAGGGCCAAGCCCCTTGCACAAATTCCATGCATCGGGCCTCTAGCATGTATGTATGTATGTGTGTGTGTGTGTATATATATTAGCCTATAAAGGTTCAAAAAACAATGAACTCACAAATGTCTTTGCAGCAATTATCACACATTTTGTTGCACGCTTCTGAGTTCCATACTTCATCAAAATGTTGAGCTATCAATACACGGCGACATCTGCCAACACATTTAGAGATACAAATTAAGTGATCTAATAATGTTTTAAGAATCCCTATTTCAAACTACAGAATTATATCTTGTATAAGTTTCCTATTGCTGCCATATCATTACCACAAACTCAGTCTTAAAACAACGTATTTATTATGTTACATTTCTATAGGTTAGACATTTGACGTGGATCTTGCTGGGTTAAAATCAAGGTGTAAGCAGGGCTGTATCTCTTCTGGAGGCGCTAGAGGACAGAATCTGTTTTTTTGCCTCTTCCAGTTTCTAGAGACTGCCTGCATTCCTTGGCTCATGGCCCCCTTTCCTTCATCTTTAAAGTCAAGCACACTGGGTTGAGTCTTCACATCATATCACTCTGACCCCTTCCCCCTCTCTGCCTCCTTCCAAATTCAAGGACCTTTGTGATTATACTGGGCCCACCCAAATAATCCAAGTTAGTCTCCCTATTTTAAGGTCAGCTGATTAGCAACCCTAATTCCATCTGTAACCTTAATTCCCTTTGCCATGTAAGGTAACATACTCACAGGTTGCTGGGATTTGGATGTGGATATCTGTGGGGACTTTGCCCACCACATATAATTTTTTCCATACGTACTTGGTAAACATAGCTTTTAAGATGTTGTCTGAGATTCATTTTGAGATTCAATATTTTACTATTAAAAAAATCTTCCTGATAGCAGTTTCTTGTACTTTATAGTATTCATTTGAGTCTAAAACCCAAAATATGCTTCATGGGGGTCTACTGGACATCTAAGAAAAATGTTCTTTTTCTCATTTCTTTAATTAGATTATTGTAGCATCTACAGGAAAGAAATACCATTTTCTGTCACTGTCTGGTTACTGCTTACATAAAAATTATGAGTCATTTTTATGTGATGGGTAATAAGAGTACAAAGATGACTAAGACAGAAAAGCCATCAGGGAGCTATATGGTCTAATTAAATCTACCCTAAATAGATTAAAATTTATTTCTTAAGAAGAAACTGGACCCTGCTCTCAATTATTTCATCAATCCATCAGCTGGTAGGATGGTTGGTATGTGTTACTGAGCTCAACTCTCAAAACTCCTCTTATACACCTGTACATAATTATTAAAGCTACACACCAGTACTGGAGGGGAAAAAAAAAAGCTTGAACTCACTATCTCTATCAGACTCTTCAGTAAAACAGAGTTTTGGAGAATTATCTCAGAGAGAGAATATCTTTTCTTGGATTAAGGCAGATCTTGCAGGTTCATGTACTTGTTCTTACACTTCATACACTACCTTTACATGTTTGCACTTGATGTTTTACCAATGTATTTACTGACTTTCCTAAGTACTCAAAGGAACATCATATACTTTCACATTGTGTTTGTCTCTAACTGACAAAAGTTATGAAAAGACATGTGGCTTACTTGCTTATGTTTTGACAGTATGACACCATCTCATAAAGCTTTTGTTGCCCCACATTCTCCATCACCACCATTGAACTGATTCTGAATATGTCTCCAAAGCCATAGTACAAAATACAGTCCGCTTTTGTGTCATCTCTACCTGTAGTAGGAAAGATCTTGAGATTGCATAATTACTTTAAAAATTCAAAGCAAGCAAAAATAATATATGCAAAATTAGCTGGCTATGCTTCATTGTCTAAGTATATCTATAAATTTCAGACAAAAAGTGAAAGTTAATTTGTAACAACTGCCCTCAAATTTATTTATTATTTATTTTTTTAATATATTCTTATTGATTTCAGAGAGGAAGGGAGAGGGAGAGAGACAGAAACATTGATGAGAGAGAATCATTGATTGGCTGCCTCCCGCACGCCCCACTGGGGACTGAGCCCGAAACCCGGGTATGTGCCCTTGACTGGAATCAAACCTGGGACCCTTCAGTCTGCAGGCCAAATCTTCGTCCACTGAGCCAAACCAGCCAGGGTTCAAATTTTTTATAAATGACTAGAAGACTTACTAACATTCAACTATTTTTTTTAAAATAAATATTCTTGATTTTTTACAGAGAGGAAGGGAGAGGGATAGAGAGTTAGAAACATCAATGAGAAAGAAACATCAATCAGCTGCCTCCTGCACACCCCCTACTGGGGATATGCCAGCAACCAAGGTACATGCCCTTGACTAGAATCGAACCTGGGACCATTCAGTCCGCAGGCTGATGATCTATACCAGTGGTTGGCAAACTCATTAGTCAACAGAGCCAAATATCAACAGTACGATTGAAATTTCTTTTGAGAGCCAAATTTTTTAAACTTAAAATATATAGGTAGGTACATTGTTATTAACTTAATTAGGGTACTCCTAAACTGGCCTTTGCTAAAAACGTCCTCAATCTGTGGGGTCAACCTCAGCGAACGTACCCCCTCTTCTAACGCCACTTCAAAATAGACTCGCCCAGGCCGAAAACCGACGTCTGCACATGGGCCTCGAAGTTTCAATTGCACTGTACGTGCGCGCCTGCACGTGGTATTTTGTGGAAGAGCCACACTCAAGGGGCCAAAGAGCTGCATGTGGCTCACGAGCCACGATTTGCCGACCACTGATCTATACACTGAGCCAAACCGGTCAGGGCTCAGCTTTCGTAATTTAAAAATGTATCCAGCTCTGGCTGGGTGGCTGGAACATCGCCCTGTACACCAAAAGGTTGTGGGTTCAATCCCTGGCCGGGCGCATACAGGAGGCAACCCATCTATGTTTCTCTCTCACATTGATGTTTTTCTCCCCCTTCTTCTCTAAATCAATGAAAATGTATCTTCAGGTGAGAATTAAAAAATAATGTGTCTATAAGTAATCCAGTTACTTAAGTTACAGAGTTGAAACCACTAATTAAAAACTCAGGAGACAAAGATGGATATCAAATTATCTTAGAAACTGAAGAAATAATTCATAACACTCTAATAGAACATACATATGTAAAATTTCTCCATTGGCAAATAAGATTAAACTGTGGAAAAGACATGTTATTCTAAAAATAGTAGCCAATAAAGATTAAAAATATAGAATTATTAAACATCACTTATAGTATGTTTTCTGGAAAAGCTATTTTTAAAAATGACTCTGGATTTGAGTTATACATACCTGCACGACCACTCTCCTGGTAATAATTTTCCATAGATTTACTCATTGAATGATGAATAACAAATCTCACATCTGGCTTATCAATTCCCATACCAAATGCAACCGTTGCCACTACTACCTAAAATGTTTTAACATTTCATGTTAATTAAGTCAAGCGAAAATACTCTTAAAGGTGAATTAGGTTTCTATTGAAGATATATACCTAACCTGAATTTCATTGGCTGACCATCTTCTGTGAACCTTGGTCTTATCTTCTGGTTCCATATTGGCATGGTATGCACCTGCACGAATTCCCAATTTCTGTAAACTACCTGTAACTTGCTCAGAGTCCTTCTGAGAAAAGCAATAAATGATTCCTGTAGTAAAATATGTCCAATTGTTAGATTTATAATCCTGGAAGAGAATTTTTAACACTCAAGATAGTGATTACTGGTAATACAGGGGAAAATAATTTATGAAAAATTTCAAGGCCCCGACACATATTGATTTTTTTGGTATAATTCACGATTTGATCACCAGCAGACATGAACCCTGAGCCACAGGTGTTGGATCTCATTGCCTCTTTCCTCTCTCCAACTTTATTTCCCACTACAGAGTATTTCTCAAACTGATGCCTCACAGCTCCATAAGAGGTTAGCAAGTGTTCTGTGAAAAAAGTTCCAGGTGCAAATGAGTTTGGGGAGCAATGCATTAAACTAAGTTAAGTTTCTCTCTTTGTTTGTAGGGCTGGTCAAAACAGATACACCCCGTGACTCTCAGGAGAGATAAATAGCTAGTTGCAGCCTTTTTCAAACTTATTTGACCCTGGAACTCACTTTACCTGGGGTACCCATTCATATCTCCTGAAAATCTATAGAACAGTTTTGAAATGCCGCTTTTATACAAACTCTTTGCTTCAGTAATACTTGCCTGTTCGTTAATCCTGAAACACAGTTATACATGCTCTGAACTCCATCTATACTTAACTCATTCAATATGTTCTATTTATTTCTTTAACATATCCTTTACTATAAGGGACTACATTTTACATCCCTTTAGATCATCAGTGGTTACTTCTATCTTATACACAGTGTATACTTACTGAATATGTACTACTGAAAATTAACATCATGAAATTAGGTCCATTCCTTAAAACAATTAAGTGTAAATAAGCAAAAATAAATCAGACAGTTAGCAAATGCCACATACAGTTTCTAAGATGGCCAAGCAAATTAATTTTACCATAACATGTTCAAGTATCCTCTGCCATGCATTACCTTAATATCTTTTGGTGTTAATCATTTATCAGTATATCAGTATAATATTAATTACTTTTTGAAAGTTCTCTCTGTCTAAAAAGTTGGTTTGTTATTTTATTACCTGATTGCCCTTTGTATCTCCCATTAATGACCTTTACAATATCCTCAATAAAATCTTCAGTGTTTGAAGGCTTTTGACGAACCTAAAAAAAGCTAACTTATTAAAAAGTAACTTAATGAGTACCAAGTAGTCACTTACTTACATCTTTCAAGGTGTGATTCTTTCATGAACACTGTGTTTTTTCCTATTATTCTTTCACTCACCCCATCTGCCTCACCCCACCACCTCCTAACTTCTTCTTCATCATTATTTTTTATTTTACCAGAGATGAGGCACAGAAGCAGTGAATAACTTGTAAAGATGGAGACTTTATTTTCTAGTGCTACTTTTATAAAAACATAAACCATGGAATAACTATTCAATGAAAACTCAGAAAAATATTGTCTATTCTTAAAAGAACTAAAAAAGAAAAAAAATAACTGTTAGATTATTTAACTTTCAAAGTTATATATCAAATATAATCTAAATAGGGGGATTAGAAAATCTTTAATGGAATACTAATTTTGTATTATTTCATAATTAATTTTAATAGGATGTCATTAGGATCCTTGGTGTCCATCTATGCTCTTTTTCCACCCTTGCACAAGAAAAAATATACATAAATTTAACAAGGCAACATCTACTTAAACTAACAAAGAATATGTAGCACAAGAGGTATCAGAAGAAGGCATTAATTAATGAATCTTATAATTACCTCCTGATTTTAAAAGCTTTTTAAACATAGTTCACTGTTACTCATGTAAATACTGGTAAGCATAATGAAAAGGTAACCTCTCTGCCACAACCCTTCACAGAAGTTACATACCTCATAATAAAGATTTGGCCGATTAAAAGAAGCTGTAAAAGTAAAACACTTCTCAACACACAGTATTTTTTGAGCATCCTTCAAAACATGACTGGTTGCGGTCGCAGTCAGCCCAATCAGTGCTGTGTTCGGGAACTGGCGCTTTAAGATACCAAGTGCCTTATAATCTGGAAAAAAAAAATACAAAGTGGCCCTCTTTCTGTCCTTTAAGGAACAGAGTAAATTAAGCCTTTTAACATGATGGAGCTAACCAAGGATTGCTGTACTTTGATGGTCTAGCTAGCAATCTCAGTAAATCTGCAGGTGCAGCCTAGTCTTTTTGAATAGGTAGGCTTTCTTATACTTTTAGTTGATTTTTTGAAAACACTGTTCTTGGCCACAGATGGACTCCCTGTTGAAGAGAGGAAATACCTAACGTTTCTAGTAAGGTATGCACTGGTCTACACCTGGTGAACAGGGGATTTAAGAGGCAGTGGGAGTAGCCATAGTATTTGAGTCTATTACAACTGACAAGAGATAAAAGAGGCCATCAGCCTAAACCCGTGGTCAGCAAACTGCGGCTCGCGAGCGTGTCAGCATTTTGAAAACCCTAACTTAACTCTGGTGCCGTGTCACATATAGAAATTTTTTGATTATATTTTTGATATTTATTTTATATATTTAAATGCCATTTAACAAAGAAAAATCAACCAAAAAAATGAGTTCGCGTGTCACCTTTGACACACGTGTCAGAGGTTCGCCATCACTGGCCTAAACCCTTCTATCACCAGAAGCATCCAAGAGTGGCAAGTTCAGACCAGAAAAAGCTTGGTGAGGGCACTGCTTTTTATATAATCTCTTTCAGGGGAACCATTCTGGGCTCAAACTTGTCATACACACCTACATCACTAGATAAGTTGTCCTTAAATATGTAAATTATTTGGAAAAAAGTAAAAAAGAAATTGCTAAAGGCTAAGGACTATGAAAATACAGAGGAGAAAGTAACCATTTGCGAAGTTGTGAAGGCTTCCAGGAGCTAACATTTGAATTGGGTCTTGAAGAATAAGCAGAGTTCCTAGGAAGGGAGGAGGAAGACATCAGGCAGAGGAAACAGCACACACACTGCACACACACTGGCATGAAATGACTTGAGAGGCTGAGATAACAGCACACAGTTCAGTGAGGCTAAATCACAGGGTGATGTGATGCTTGGATCTATTGTCAAGGCCAGTAAGTAGGGAACTATATTCCTCTATGGTTGCAAGTTAGAACTGAAAGTTTTCCCTCTAAAACCATGAACAAGGTAAGGATGCCCACTTCTCCACTTTTATTCAACACTAGAAGCCCAACGCACAAAATTCGTGCAAGAGTAGGCCTTCCTTCCCCCGGCTGCTGGCACCGGCTTTCCTCTGACACCCGGAACCTGGGTTTCCCTCCGGCTGCCGACAGGCACCCAGACCCAGGCTTGCAGCTCCGACTTCATCCAGAAGGTCATCCGGAAGGATGTCTGGAAGGATGTCCAGTCTAATTAGTATATTACACTTTTATTATTATAGATAGTATTGGAAGTCCTAGCCAGAGCAATTAGGCAAGAAAAAGAAATAAAAGGCATCCAAATTAGAACACAAATAGAAATATATACTATACTAATGGATCAGATAATTAATATTGTCAAAATGAAAATACTACCCTAAGAGAGCTACAAAGTCAATGCAATCCCTTATCAAAATACCAAGGGCATTTTTTCACAAAACTTAGAACAAATAATCCTAAAATTTATTTGGAACAACAAAAGACCCTCAGTAGCCAAAGCAATCTTGAGAAAGAACAAAGTTGGAAGTATCACACTTCTGCATTTCAAACTACACTACCAAGCTGTAATAAAACAGTGTTTTACAATTTACTCTGTGGAGTAGTCTGGTTAAGACAGCAGGGCTCTTAGTAGAAAGCACAGTATATATGCTGCCTGAAGCATTTAAATCAAATTAAAAAAAAATACCTGTGCTTCCAATATTTCTGAAGGTAGAGAATGATCTTCAGGCTATGAGTCTACTATCCTTGGGGAAGTATGAGAAAAGGTGAAAACAGATCAGAACCAAAGGGAACACTAATATCGAAGGAGGTGGCAAAGGAAGAAGAATGAAGGAGGTAAGAATGGAAAAGAACAAAATAAAAAAGTTACATATTAACCAAAAGAAAAGAAAGTGGCAAGGTGGGAGGTGAACAGTATAAAATGCTATTGAAGTTAAATGGGAAGAGGAATAAAGATGAGACCACTGGATTTAGCCAGTGGGAAATAGAGTCACTGGTGACCTCTGAGTAGAGTGGAGAAGGAGGAAGTGTGATCCAATAAACTCAGGAACCCAGGGGTCCATATGAGTGTGAAAGTAGGTTCAGACGGAAAAGAGGTTGAAATCATAAAGCAAGATTTTTTAATTTAATATTTTTTTACATAAAACAAGTCTGAATAATCTGCTTTAGGCTATGACTGTAGGATTAAGTTGCAGGAGTAAAAAAAAAGGGTTATTAAGATATCCCATGGAACTTTCCCTGAGGAGTTAGTTGAATATAGGTCCTGAAGTGGATGCTAACGACACTCAGAATGACAACTAAAGACAACTTTGAAGCAGATGCAAATTCCTCAATAGATGTGAAGAAGAACCTAGAGGTCAGTAAATCTTTATGGCTAAAGGTAGAACAGTATTTTTGCTAACAGACATATGTTTTAAAGGACAAAGATAATTAAACTAAATACTACCTTAGAGGGAGTAAAGAGAAAGATTTTGCCTCTTGACTCTCCTTATATAAAGGCAAAAGAAAAGGAGTAATAACTACCCAAGAGGATAATTTTAATGGAAGCAGGAATTTTCCATCATGTAAAGCTGAGTAAGAAAATAGTCCCCAATATCAAGTTTTCCAGCTACCACATACATACCAGGTCTGAAATCATGACCCCAGTGACTACAGCAGTGAACTTCATCCACAGCTATTCGGGTAAATCTCCTTGCTTCATAGGCTTTCTCTAGTCTTGACATAAACATTTTGCTTTTTGCAATTTTCTCTGGAGTCACATAAATTAGCTTTAGCGTGGAGTTTTTATTTACCATTTCAGCATGAACCCATTTCACATGCTCCTATTGAAAGGAAAAACAGACACGATAGTAGAACTAAGCTAACAGACTGCAATACTAAGCGGTAAAAGATGTTCATTACTCAAAAGCAATAGTCTGGGGCTGTTTAACAGCAGATATTAGTTCATTAAAATGGAAACCATGTCCCAGTACTAAACTTCATGGCAGTTGTGTAAATAGAATTTTAGCTATTTACTTACACCCAAACTGTTGATAAAAGCATAATCTCATTTGACAAAAAAAGAATAAGAAATGAATGTCAAGATACTCAAATAAGCATTTATTCTATGACGGCATAATTCTAAATTGTTTGTAATAACTATGACTACAAAGGTGTGTTTTTTATTAATCTTAACATTACATTTGTAACACTGCCTATCTCTGTGAACATAATTTATTCTTAATTACCTGCTTTAATGATGCTGTCATATCTACTCATAATCTCTTTTTTAGGTTTTATAAACTATCTTATTCATTGAATTAAAATTTTATAATGTGAAATATATATTTATATGTTATATATAACAATAATAAATCTTAAGAGATAAGTTATTAGGTTCTTAGTGCTTTGTTACTATTTTATATAAAATTTTGCCCAGTAGATGTCATAATTTTCCTTCTCATTTGATTAGGACTCAAAGAAGTGTAAAGAAACAATGCTGAATGTGATAGAAAGAGAACATCAAAACTGCTTTCATCATCCCAGAAAGCAGTGTGTTAATTCCTTGAGATAGTCCTAATTTTGTTAAGAAATAGACAAAGTGTATTAAACATTTCAACTGGTCCTAAATGTCCCAGAAATCTTAGGGGAGCAAACATAAGGCTATCTCCTCAGAAGTGGGCAAATGCAAAAATAAAATACTAAACTTCTGGCAGCATAAGTATAAATGAGTGAGCATGGTTATGTTCCAATAAAACTTTATTTATGGACACTAAAATCTAAATCTCATAGTATTTTCACACTTCACAAAATGTATTATTTTTCTCTTAACCATTTAAAAATATAAAAATCTATCTTAACTCACAAACCATACAAAATAGGAAATGGGCTAGAAATGGCCCATTAGCAGTAGTTTACAACTCCTGATATAAGTAGTAATCAGTTTTAATTTTATAAGCAACTCAACTGTAGTTAAGGCCCCTACTTCAGTGAAGACCTATAACACAATAAACAAATAATACAGAACCATACCTTAGAACTAGAAGCATTTAACATAGTAGCTGAAATTTCTAATTGTTTTAAAACCATTAATTGGTCTTCCATAAGAGAAATCAATGGGCAAATCACAAGTGTAAAACCTGAAAAAGAAAAATCGACTTTCAATTTTATACCACCAGAACAAGTTTCAACGAGTCACCTTCTTTATCATAACTTGTGGGCACTAGTAATTAATTCAGACTAATTTTCAATGCAACGTTAGCATTATACTATCTATTTCTTATCCTCATTAATATAGGAGGGAGATACGAATAAATGATCCTAAGCCAAATAAGCAAATTTAAGATTAAACAGAAATCTCTTCCCTTATTCAGTCCTACAAACATAAAGATTGATATTATCATTTTGAATTTTGAATTCACTATCATTTTTAACAATCAGTATTGGTAATCTCAGTAAAATAATATAAAATACTATCCAGTTACATCAGGGAAAAGTTATTCCAAAGCTGCCTACCTCCCCATAAAAACCATAGCAAACTATAGAATTGAAAATGTTTCATGGGTATTCATCCACTTCCTGCACCAGATTAATTTATTCTGAATGGAAATCAGTGAACAGTGTATTGACTAAATGAAGTTCTGGCAATAAATCTTGTTTCTCTTATAACTGAAAGTGTTGACAGCTATAAGAGCTATTCTACATTGTTATAAACATATGACCTCATGTTCCTATAGTTTGTTCCTTAAAATAACCGCAGAAAGAGAGTAGTCCTGTTTAACTATTTTTTTGAATACTTAAAAATATATTAAGAGAGCCCTGGCCAGTGTGGCTCAGTTGGTTGAGCAACAGAGCATCAAAAGGTCCCTGGTTCGATTCTCCATCAGAACCCAAGTTGTGGGTTTGGTCCTGGTCAGGGTGAGTAGGGGAGGCAACCAATCAATGTTTCTCTCTCTCTTCCTCTCCTTTCCTTTCTCTAAAATCAATAAAAATATATTTTAAAGTATATACTGTATATATATATATATATATATATATATATATATATATATATATAAAGAGAAATAACATTTCTTCAATTTAAATATATATATATAAAGAGAAATAACATTTCTTCAATTTAAAATCACTCTTTATTAATACATACCATCTGAACATAATGCTGGTAACTGGTAGCATAAGCTCTTTCCACCTCCTGTAGGCATAACAAGAAATACATCCTTTCCAGACATTGTTACATTAATAGTTTCAAGCTGAAGCAGTCTGAACTTCTCCAGTTTAAAGACATTTTGCAGAACATCTTTAACTTTATCAGACCATGGAAAATCTAGAAAGAGAAAAATAAGCTAAATATATTAGATTGTTTAGGACTATAAGGAGACACATGTGCATAGCTGCTTTTATAAGAGCAGGATCAGATAAATATATATAAGATTTTTAATACTATGGACAATTTAACTTTCATAAGAACAATTTTGAGATTAGTTTAAGTCACAAAACTAAAGCAAGAGCAAATTTAATGATATACAGTAAGAAATCGTACCTCAGAAAAAAAAGCTAGTATATCAGGAAAAAATCAAAGCATTTGCCAGTTGAGAATTAACTTACACAAAGGAAGATATTTGAAAAACCATCTGAAAGTCAATCAAGGAATTCAAAGTATCATACAATACTCAAAAATCATGAACAAAGTTAACCATTATCTGGAATTTTTGGTGTAAATATCTTGTTTACAAGTGAATCACTAAAAAACAAGGCCCACAAAAGCACTGCAATTCCTTCTCAGGTTATAGTATTCCTTTTATTATTTTTTTTGGTTGTTCACCAATGTTTATTTACTTTTCAATTACAGTTGACATTCAATATTATATTAGTACACTACAGTACAGTGGTGAGACATTTATATAACTTACAAAGTGATCCCCCATAAGTCTAGTAACCACTTGACACCATACAGTTATTACAGTATTATTGATTAATATTCTCTATGCCTTGCTTTACACTCACATGACTATTTTGTAACTGCCAATGTGTACTACTTAATCCCTTCACCTTTTTCACCCATTCCCCCAATCACTGTCCTATTGGCAACCCTCTGTTCTCTGCATTTATAAGTCTGTTTCTGTTTTATTTTAATTTTTAGATTCCACATATAAGAGAAATCATGTAGCATTTGACTTTCTCTGTCTCCCACGAAAATTAGTGATACACACGATGCTCTGAAGGAACTTAAATCAAAAAAGGTTTGTTCAGTAGAGAAGGGAAATGAACTAGACTTCGGAAAAAGTTTGAATTTTTTTCTTAATCGTTTAATTTTGTCTAGTGAAAATTTAGAAAATTTAGTTAAAATAAATATCTCACTTTTCCAAGCATTGATTCATGTTGTTAACATTAATGTTGTTAACCATATTTGGAAAAAAAATAATAGTCTGAATAATAAAAGCTTAATTTTATTTGTTTTACTTTTTTTAAAATATATTTCTTTATTGATTTCAGAAAGGAAGGGAGAGGGAGAGAGAGATAAAAACATCAATGATGAGAGAGAATCATTGATCGGCTGCCTCCTGCACGCCCCCTACTGGGGATCGAGCCCACAACCCGGACATCGAACCTGGGACCCTTCAGTCCGTAGGTCGACGCTATATCCACTGAGCCAAACCGGCTAGGGCCTAAAAGCTTAATTTTAAAAGACTACAGAACATGGGTAGAGAACGGTCTGCCTCTAAGCTCCCACGCCACTTAAGGAATGGCCAGTTTCACCTCTAAACGTACTGGAAAGCACTGACCCTGATACAGTGATTTGACTCCAGTTTAAAGAAAGAAGAAAAAAACTAGCAAAGAAAAAAAGAATAAACCTTCTTTATTCCAAGAGGCAGGTGAAGAATCACATTCATTGCTTCCCCCAGCATCAGAATCCTCCAAACACTGCTTTATTCTGTTTGTTAGGATGTTTTTTTTCTGAGTAAGCTCTTGTTGCCTCTCCAGAAGTTCCTGAATTTGAATGTCTACTGCATGTAGCTCATTGTTCACCGAATCCAATTCCTCAGTTAGAGCTATGAGGGAGGAAAAAAGATATAATGACAACACAGTCAATTACAATTTTAGGTTTCCCTAATAATTTTTTAATATTCCTCACCATCGAAATCACAGACAAGCTTATAAATTCTGCAGTGTGGTTAAGAGCATTGTTTTGGAGTCACAGACCTGACTTATTAGTAAATCGCAGGTCCTCCTCTTACCTGCTGAGTGACCTCGGGCAAGGTACTTTACTGAGCCTCAATTTCCCCATCTGTAAAATGGGGATAAAACCTAGGTTTCATAGCACTATTGTACAGAATTAAGTGAGATAACATATTGAAGGTTCTTGACACAGTACCTGGTACAAGTTAAGCATTTACAAATGATATCTATTTTAATTATGTTGTAAGGCAGTGGCCCAACAATCTCCTAAATCAAGTGACCCAACTATGAAGCAAACACAAGCTATTTAAAAGTAGTCCCCTAACTTCTTAGCTATTATTTCACAAAAACATTCACATTTAGGCTCATATAGCGGCATGATAGGGATTCAATAATTATAAACAAGGTGATATAACAAGTAAAAAAAGAAATCATGTACTATTAAAATTAACATTACAACTCCATCATTAATTAATTTTAAAGAAGCCTTAATGTATGATTCTAATCAGACAAAGTCAAAGTGAGATTCCTTTTGATACCATATCAATGGAAGCTGTAAAAAATTTAAAGATGTTGTTGGTGTGTCCAAAACATCTGCCTGCATTATTCAGTGTTCATTTTTAATGCCTTTTCATGAGATAAAGTCTTAGGGTTATTTAAAATCGGATGTTGTGGTGACTTTGTATTGTACAACTGCCAGAATTCCCTTCCCTGTAGGATTCTGGGTTAGGATTGGCCACAAGTGAACTCTGCATGAGATTTGGAGGGTGGAAAAAAGAGCAGGCTGATTTACATTCAGATGTTTGGCATAAGGTCAAATGCTGTTGCAGCTCACTCATGTCGTCATGGATCTTCTGCCTCACCTTGTTGTCACGGGGCAGAAGCCAGTTCCTCCAGGCCCTGATGAATCTCCCCAGGGCAGTAGCTTGGCCCACAGCTTCTCTGAATCCTTGACCAACTTCATGTGCAACTTGCCGTAGCAAGTACACCAGATCTTCGGCAAGGCACCAGCATCCATGAAGTCAGATCCTTGTAGGCAGTGACACACCCCCATGATTCCCAGTGAGAAACAGGAGGGTTCCACATAGTCCTTGTGGGTTTCAGCTGATCCTTACCCACCCACACTTCACATCTATCTTCCCATCCCTAATGCTGGCACTACTGACTTCAGGTCCAGCAGGGGACTGCGTAACCAGCTCCAGTGATTATGCAGGAACTAGTCCCTATAAGAAACCCCTTATATCTGATTGAAACCTAGCCAACACCCAGTGCTGTTCCAGATGAACAGAAACTTAAGGGTGGGTTCTCTGAATTGCTTCTGGGCCACCTGAAATTGGGCCTCTGATCTGATTAAAGATACTGATGTCCTTTGTTTGCAGTGATAAAAGGGGCAATGGTATTCCATGGTATGCAGTAGACAAAGTTATTTAAATTCTAATCTGTAGACACCAGTATAATTAAGTGTCACACGTAATTATACTGGTGTCTTACTTAATACCTGGGTGGCCAAGTGTTTCCTGACACAGAACATTTTGGTGAAAATAATGGCAACAACTGGTTGCTTTGAAGTATGCTGGAGAACTTGGGGAGAGAAATGCAGGGCCTCAAAGTTGCCACAGGGTCAAGATTACTGAATACCAACCCTAAGTCTAAATCCTGCAGATGGCTGTAATACAATGTAAATTGAATTCCCAACTTTGCAGGGACTCGTATTAAAGTTAAAGACAAAGTGTCGCTGGGATGGGAACATCTGGGCTGATTCCAATGAAACAGGGGACCTTGAGCACTAAATCTGACAAGTCACTTTTGCCCTTCCCTTTCTGAAACAGCTTTCTCCTGCCTGAATGCCTTTAATGGTCCTTCCTGAGGTGGTTGTTTTGCAAAGGATTGCTCATCTCCCTAAGGATCTCCCCCCACCACCTCTTAGTGCTTCAATACCCAGGACGCCCTAGATCAGTGGTTCTCAACCTTCCTAATGCCGCGACCCTTTAATACAGTTCCTCATGTTGTGGTGACCCCCAACCATAAAATTATTTTCGTTGCTACTTCATAACTGTAATTTTGCTACTGTTATGAATCGTAATGTAAATATCTGATATGCAGGATATATTTTCATTGTTACAAATTGAACATAATTAAAGCATAGTGATTAATCACAAAAACAATATGTAATTATATATGTGTTTTCCGATGGTCTTAGGCGACCCCTGTGAAAGGGTTGTTCGACCCCCAAAGGGGTCACGACCCACAGGTTGAGAACTGCTGCCCTAGAGGCTGAGGTATTAAAAGTGCAACCCATGAGAAGACACAAAACACACCAGAGTTGCATTTGCCAATATATATCACCAGAAACCTAGAGAATAAATATGGGAAGAGATCCTAAGGGTATTAAATCGGGGTGGATAGAAAATAATATTAAATAAAGCTTAACTTATTAGTATGGACTCGGTAAGAAATTCTGGAATTAGTGTGCTAAAATAGTGCCCAGGAGTAGCTCTAATAATTTACTTAGTTGGTAGCCAGAAACCAGGCCCCAAAGATGAATATAAGAAAGTTGGATGGAACAACATAAGTGTAAATCCCAATGAAGTTGAAGGGCCAGAACTTCCTGGGTATACTATACAGGAGGGGATCCAGAGGCTTGGGGAGATGGGAGTGCTAGAGTGGATTATCGGGTAAATTGATCATCCACTCTCTTGCTGTACCCGCAACAAGATCCAGAGGATACTCCCTTCACCAAGATCATGAGAAATAGTCATGAGGGGAGCCTTAGCATCCCTGAAGAGCTCTGGAGTGGCTGTTCTCTGCAAGTCAGGAATGACAGTGGGAAGTACTGCCTTTAAACTAGACAACCTGAATCAATGAGAATGATGGATTCTAAGATACAGGGACTAAATGTTGGCAATTCATGACCAAAGAAAAGGTAGATGCGGTTGCCATAATAGGCAACAGAGCAGCTGTAATCAGAATAGTCTGACTCTCAAAGGTCTTTGGCATTGGCTAGTTGGTCATGATGTTGCTGAGGTGGAAACAGATGATTAGATTTGTATAGGTAGAATACAAAGCCCTGATTCTGGTAAACATAAGTCTGATTTGAATCACCACAAGAGTCACCATCCTTCATCCAATCCCCAGAAATGAGCCAATTTATAGACCCAGAGTCCCTTGAATAAAGTGCAGGTTGGGGCCCTTTGAGGAAGGACTCTACTACACAGCTAAAACTTTATGCAGTAAATCTTTCCACTAGTATCCTCCAGAGAAACTTATCAGGGCAATTGTGTATTGGGAAAAGGAAAATAACTTCTCAGAAATCATCAAACATTGGCAGTAAGAAATAAGAACTGCAATACCTATAAGACTTTCTTCCTTATTTTGATCCTATATAATAAAAGGCTAATATGCAAATAGACCCAACGGCTGAACAACTGAATAATCGAACAACCAGTCGCTATGACGTTCGCTGACCACCATGGGGCGTGTGCGGAACATGGTGGGCGTTGGCCACAGTGGGATGGTGGAGCAGGTGACCAGGGATGCCAGACCAAGGCGAGGCTCCAGTCGCTGTCATCAGGGCGAACCTCTGGTGGTTACTAAAAATTTTTTGCTCCCGTGTGCTGCAGTTCTGCCCGGCACTTGCACCTGATGCTGGCGCAAGCCCCACCCATAGCCGCAGTCAGCGCCCAGTGCCGGTCCCAATTGGTAGGTGCTGTCAGTGGGTGCAAGCAGTGGCTGCTAGCCCCAATCACCCCTGAGGGCTTCTCCACCTTCCTCTGGTCCTGAGGGGCAATCTGGGCACCAGCTCCACTCACACCCACTGCTGGCACCAGCCCCAATCGCTCCACACCATCAGCAGGTGCAAGCGGGGCCGGTGCTGTCAGAGTGTAGGTCAGAGCGTGGGAGCAGTAGCAGGAGCGGGGGCTGCCGGCAGACAGGGGACCAGGGGCCATGGCGGGAGGGGCAAGGCGGGGGCACGGAGGATGGGCCAAGACCCACCCCTGTGCCCACCACAGCCTCAGGGCCCACAGTTCCTTTCAAGGTACACAAATTTGTTCACTGGGCCCCTAGTATTTGTATATAAACCAAGTTTGGGTTTTTTGTTCTTGTTGGTGGGGTTTTTTTGTTGTTGTTTTTGTCCCTTCTGCTATTCCTTTTAACATCAAAAAGAAAAAAAGTGTCAATAGTAGCTAACTTCATATCTCAGGATTTAGGTGCAGCGGTTCTCAACCTGTGGGTCGCATCATTCGAAAATACATCCTGCATATCAGATATTTACATTACGATTCATAACAGCAGCAAAATTACAGTTATGAAGTAGCAACGAAAATAATTTTATGGTTGGGGGTCACAACATGAGGAACTGTATTAAAGGTTCACGGCATTAGGAAGGTTGAGAACCACTGGAGGATTATCAAGGAGGATGTGATTCGTCAAAAAGAGGAATAAGCATCATCAAAAGATAAGTAGAAATTGTGCCCTCTTCTGTAGAGATTAGTTTGTATCTGGTTGTGTACAGGATAGTTGGTGACACATTATGCAGAAGCATCATTCTGCTACTTCCTTTATTTGAATACTAGAGGCCTAGTGCACAAAATTCGTGCACTGGAGGAGGGGGGGTCCCTCAGCCCAGCCTGCACCCTCTCGCAGTCCGGGACCGCTTGCTCCTTACTGTCCGCCTGCTTGCTGCTCCTTACTGCTTGGCTCACTGCTCCTTAGCGCTGTTGCGGAGGTGGGAGAGGCTCCCATCACCACCACTGCACTCGCCAGCTGTGAGCCCGGCTGCTGGCTGAGCGACACTGCCCTGTGGGAGCGCACTGACATGCTCTGGGACGCTGGCTCCTAACCGCTCGCCTGTCTGATTGCCCGTTAGCCTGCCTGCCTGATCACCCCTAACTACCTCTGCCTCGGCCACACACCCGGGACCCAGGATTCCCTCCTCCAACTGGCCGCAGGCACCCCGGACCCTGGCTTCCCTCACTCTGGCCGGCCGCAGGCACCAGGGACCCGGGCCAGCTTCACACAGGCTGGCCACAGCCGCAGGGGACTGTGGGTGAGGGGCTTCGCCCAGGCCGCAGCTACAGGCGCCCGGGACTGCAGGGCGGGCCACTTTTCTCCCTCTCCCGGGCCGCAACCGCAGCCACAGGCGCCCTGGACTGCAGGGCAGGCAGCTTTTCTCCCTCTCCTGGGCCGCAGCCACAGGCACTGACACCCGGGACCGCGGGGCGGGCAGCTTTTCTCCCTCTCCAGGGCTGCAGGCACTGGTGCCCAGGACTGTGGGGCGGGCGGTTTCTCCCGGGCTTGGGCCGGCTTTGTCAGGAAGGTCATCCAGATGGTCGTCCGGAAGACGTCCGGTCTAATTAGCATATTACCCTTTTGTTAGTATAGATTAAAAGAGAAGTCTATGGATACCCTGTAGGCAATGGGTGAAGTCTGGTGGCTTTGTACTGTGATAACTTAGCTAAGCTAGAACTACATTTCCCAAAATTCTTTCCCTGCATAGATCTAGGTTAGGGCACAAAGAACTCTGCCAAAGATTTGGAAGGTGGAAGTGATGCAGTGGCCATATTTGCCATATTTAGAAGGTCACTGCAAGGTCAGGGCTGGTGACCTCATTGGCATGGGGCAGCACCTGTGCCCACAACTCCAGCTGCTGCTAGATATCCTTGGGAAAATAGCAGGGCTTGCAGCTCCTCCAGGTCCTATTGGTTCACCTTCTTCAGCTTCTCTGAAGCCTCAGCCAGTTGCATGCAACTTCATGTGAAGTACACCAGCTCTCTGACATGCCTTCTGCAGCATCCAAATTAGAAGATGTGAGGCAACGAGACACTAATACATATTCTAGTAAGAAACAGAAGATCATCTTCACAGGTAGCAGTTTATTTTTGCATTCCCCATCACATCTTCTTTTCCTGACTGCTGATTCTGCCAACTTCAGTCCCAGTGCCAGACACATAGGAAACATACATAAAGAACCTAACACTTCCCACAATCACATAATCCCTTATATCACTCAGAGTGGCTCTGCTTCTCTGATCAAACCCTACCTGACAGAGATGTAATGTCAATCCATGGTACAAAGTCATATCGTATCTTTGACAAAATCACGATTGCCTAAAAATATTAAAAGGTACAGCTAGTTGTAGTAAGTCGGGGTATTTTAATTTTTTTGTCCAAAATTGTATCATCTCCAATGCTGGCATATACAAGACTTTACTATATGAAATGTGATTGAAAAGTCAAGTATATGATTTTAATCAATAATGAAGAGGGATTACAAGTACACAGGGCTTATTACGGCAATGGTATCTCAAGAGCGCACTGAACTGAGTGGGGATCACACTGCAGTGTTTCTAGGCTTACAGCTGAAACACTGAATGGGAGGTGCCATTCTTCAGAAATAGCACATTTTCTAACAATATCACAAACTGAAGTTAACTCTGAAAGGAAAGTGATTTACCAGCACTGAAGCCGTCAGATCCAAAGTAACAGACTACCTGAAGGCAACCTCAAAGAGGCAGTTCAAATACAGTTCAACAAATGGATAGAACAATAGAAGTTAGATTTCTTTGAAAGGGGTACATATTATGGAAGCAGTTATTTGAAATAAGCATCTCTATTTAAATAAAATTTACCTATTTCATTGTTCAATTATTTTAAAGTCATACTCCACTGATAAAGCTGAAGTCTGAAGTAAAATAACATATGCAATCCCAAAATGATCATGCTGAACTGAGTTGTGAGGTTCAGTGACATCTCTCAAACCCTCATTTTAATCTCTAAGTAAAGAATGCTTGGGTTAGCATTTAACATAACTTAAATTTTGACCATTTATTATTAACCCTCAGGGTATGAGAAGGAGGCATGAGTCAAAGCCAAAACCTATGTCACTATTTTTTTATGTTTATATTGAAATAAATTATAAAGTTGTGTGTGTGGAGGGGGGGGAGGCAGGGGAGGGGGGAGAGGGGAGGGACATGTCTCATATTTAAGAAAGCCCCTTCTTTAAAGTTTGAAAAAACTGATCTTGTCACCCTACTATTAGAACTAGTATGTATTAGCAAACTTTATATACACAGCACCCCTGCCACCACCTCTTAACCGAATAAATAGCAAGATATCACTAATAAGCACAGTAGAATCTGGTCAAGTTTACAGGAACAAATAATGAATAGACATATATCAAAATACCAAGCGTATCTGTCTGGGAAAGGTAAAATGGATGTTTTTCTTTTATATTTTAAAGACATTTGAAATAACTCCACTTATAAGACTGTATCTTAAAGAAATAATCAGAGGAGCACACAAAACTTGCAATTCATAGATGCTCGAGGCAGAATTTTTTTATGTTTTAAAAATAAAAACAGTATAAAAGTTCAACAATAAAATATTATTTATTTAATGTCACTTCAAAACAACAAAATACAATGCAGGTATTAGAATATTTACAACATACAATTTACTTAATAATATGTCTATATTCTATATTTGCATTGTGTTTTTAAATCACATTACAAAACAATATGTACAAAATGTTTAAAAATTTTAATAAATTAAATGTTATAGTATTAATCTCAACATAAGATTAGAAGTGATTGGTATTTTCTACTTTATAATTTTTAGGTTCCTAGAATTCTATCAAAAAACATATATTTTCCTTGGAACCCTTATGTATTGCTAGTGGGAATATAAAATGGTGCAGCCACCATGGAAAATAGTATGGCAAGTTACTCAAAAAAATCAACTTGTGATCTAGCAATTCCATTTCTGGGTATAAACCCAAACAGCTGAAAGTAGGGACTCAGATATTTATACACCAATGTTCATAGCAGCATTATTCCCTATTAGCCAAAAGGAACAATAACCCATATGTCCAGGGACAGACAAATGGATAAATAAAAGATGTTATGTACATACAATGAAATATTATTCAGCCTTAAAAAGATACATGTTACAAAATGGATGAACCTCAAAGACATTATGCTAAGTGAAATAATCTAGACACAAAAGGACAAATATTACATGATTCCACTTAAATGAAGTGCCTAGAACAATCAAATTCCTAGACAAAAAGTGGAATAGTGTTACCAAGGGTTGCAAGAAAGGGGGCAATCAGGAGTTACTGTTTAATTGGATACAGAATTTCAGTTTGGGAAGATGAAAAAGTTCGGGAGATGGATATTAGTGATGGGTGCACAACAATATGAAGGCACTTAATGCCACTGAATTGTACACTTAAAAAAGTTAAAATGCACCCTGGCTCAGTGGTTAGAGTGTCAGCCCTCAAACCAAACCCTTGTCAGGACCCATGTAGAAGGCAACCAATTGATGTGTCTCTCTCACATTGATGTTTCTCTCTCTCTTAATGCCTCCTCCCTCCCTTCCACTCTCTCTGAAAAATCAATGGAAAAAATATCCTCAGGTGAGGATTAAAAAAAAAAGTTAAAATGATGCCCTGGCTGGCATGGCTCAGTTGGTTGGAGTGTCATCCCATATACCGAAAGGGGATGGGTTCAATTCTAGGTCAGGACACATACACAGGTTGTGGGTTTGATCCCCAGTCAGGGCGTTCACGAGGCAATTGATGTTTCTCTCTCTCTCTCTCCCTCTCCCTTCCTCTTCTCTAGACTCAATGAAAATCGTATCTTTAGGTGAGAATTACAAAAAAATAGTTAAAATGGTAAATTTTGTAATGTATATTTACCATAATTTCTAAAAATCTGAAAAAAACAGCCCAGCGGGTATGGTTCAGCGGTTAAGCATCAACCCGTGAACCAGGAGATCACAGTTCGATTCCCGATTCCCAGTAAGGTTGCAGGCTCAATCCCCAGTGGGGGGTGTGCAGGAGGCAGCCGATTAATGTTCTCTCCCATCATTGATGTTTCTCTCTCTCTCTCTCTCCTTTTCCCTTCCTCTCTCTGAAATCAATATTTAAAAACACACACACTTTTTTTAATCTAAAAAAAAAACAGCATTTCTAGAATCAGAAAAAATTTCTTAATTTATTGATTGACTTTAGAAAGAGGGGGTAGGGGAAGAGGGAGAGGGAGAGGGAGGGAGAGGGAGGGAGAGGGAGGGAGAGAGAGGGAGGGAGGGAGGGAGAGGGAGGGAGGGAGGGAGAGAGAGAGAGGGAGAGAGAGAGAGAGAGAGAGAAACAGATTTGTTGTTCCACTATTTATGAATTCATTGGTTGATTCCTGTATGTGCCCTGACCAGGGATGAACCCACAACCTTGGCATATCGGGACAATGTTCTAACAGGCCTGGGCTATAATCAGAATTTTTTAAACAAATATATTTTAAATTTATTGTATTTATTTATTTTTATTAAGACTTTTAATTAGAGCAGTTTAAAGTTCACAGCGAAGTTGAAGTGAAGGTACAGAGAAAAGCAAATATTTTTTTCAAAGAACATACAAGTAGAAACAGAACAGAATGGAAAAAAAAAAAGTAATTATTTCCACTAACCTGAAACAGATGCCATTCCAACACTGAATTAGAGATCCAAATTTCTTTCTAAAAATGAAAGAAAAATAATAGCAACATTTTTTTAAAACAGTACTATTTGATTATGCTCAATGATATTCTGACACAACTAAGCACAAAAAAATGTTAGAAAGTAACACTTACATAAGGACCCTTTAAAAAAGAACTACATGGTTCTTACTAATTTTTATGGAAAATTCTCTATTTTTTGGAGAAGTGTCCAAAGTCACATAAACATCCTATATAATAAAAGGCTAATATACAAAATCGACCAAATGGCGAAACGACTGGTCACTATGACGTGCACTGACCACCAGGGGGCAGACGCTCAATGCAGGAACTGCCCCCTGGTGGTCAGTGCGCTCAGGCAGAAGCCAGGCTCACCGCTGGCAAGCACGGTGGCGGTGGCGGGAGCCTCTCCTGCCTCTGCTGCAGCACTAAGGATGTCTGGCTTATGGCTTAGGCCCGCTCCCCACACGAACTTCGTGCCCCAGGCCTCTAGTATAATAAGTACAAGGTAAATAAAACAACAAGAATCACCAGATACAAAGTGATATAACAAAAAAGAGCAAATATTTGAGGTTTAATAGTTAGTACTAAACCACTGTGTGATTTTAGCAAAATTACACACCCTGTTCCTGTCAGCTTCTTTCCCTACTTGTAAAATTGGGATAGAACCTATCTTACAAATAACAAGTTGGATAGATTCAAATGACCCAGGTTAAGCAAAATCTACCAACATAAATACCCAAATTAATCGTTTAACATTTTACTGAATACTTGCTTTAAAGACTTACAATTTAGGCTCAATCTTAAAAAAGGATTTGGCATTCTATGGTGGGGTGGGGAGTTCATAAATTTCAGAAGAGAACCTGAAAAGCTCAGAAGTAGGAAAAAAAAACACATGGTTTGTATTAAGAACCTCTAAATACCTATGAATGACTAAAACGTAAGAAAGAGTACATATGAGCAAGTGGAAGGAGATGCGGCTTCAGAGTAGGAACTTTAGGCTGCCCATAATCCCCACGAACACCTCCCCTAACTCTGATATGGACAACCAACATTTTCTAAAAGTAACTTAGAATGTTCCCCAAAGGTTACTTCAGCATGACTCTACCTTAACCAGAATGCTGACCTTATGCCCTTCCTAACACAGAATTCTGAAACCACCACTAGGCTGGGAAGATAGGCAGGATCGTCTTTGCCTTGCTGAGTTTGGAATATAACCTGTTTGAAGTAGGAGGGTAAACCAAAGACTTTTAATTCTTTATCTATATAAACAGCTCTTGTGGAAACATAATTCTCCTTCCCTAGAGTGCAAGGTTTTCCCGCAGGGCAGGGGTTGCGTCTCTTCCCTTTGTATTCACATAGCCTAGCGAAGTACCTTGCATGTAGTTCAGGCTCAAGTTTGCAGAGATTGAAAGCAGAAACTATCTCCACTCTTAGGAAAGAATACATTCTATAACACACACACACACACACACACACACACACACACACACACAGTTTTAAATTACTTCTTTGATTATACTGTCAAAAAAAACTCATAAATTCCTTCCCCAAATGATGTGATTTAATATTAAAAGATACCTTAATATGGTCAGAAATTAATGAGCTACAGCAGGTCTGTCAGAAGTATAGCTAGGCAATGTAAAAACAAACGAAGTCCAGCCTTGAAAACTACCTGAGCATTAAAAAAAACAAACAAACAAAAAAAAAAAACAGTTTGGTCACACAAGCAAAGCTTAACTGAGCTTACTTTGTATAACTTAACCTGGGTCATTTCTCATTTAGCCTCTGGAAATGTGAGTGAAACTTAAACAGTTTCCCAAGGTTGATATGGGGTAACCACTAACCAAATTCCCTATCAATTTACAAAATGTTAATACTATACCCAATCACTGTGAAGATAAGCAGCCACTACCTTCTCACTATATCAGCTGTTTTAACAACACACCCCTGAGCCTCATTACATGTTTTGGTTGGAGTGCTCCCGGTTAGCGAACTGATTTTTTGGTCAACAGCAAGCTTTCACTACTTCCATGACTCATCGGTTTCGCTTCTGATGTTTTTGAATTTTTGAGAGCACCCACAGGAAATCTCTCACCGTGTCACACCCAGTCATCGGTGCTGGAGGAAATGCCATTGAGGTGCCACAGGTTAAATCAGACACACATCCATCCCCCTTCCCCCGCCACTTGCGTTTACAGACAGCAGCAATATAATAATATAATAATAATACCCTCCCAACGGTGTTCCCAATAAACGACGGCTTCCAATCAACAGGCTTTGGTGACCAAGCTTGCTGCATGCAAAAGGCTGGAGATCAAACGAACGTGTCCTAAGGGCCTGGGTTCCCCTGCTGTCTCCCCTGCCAATGTGGAAGGCAGCGACCCCTAACAGACGGGCCTCGCCTTCAGGCAGGAAGAGGGAAAACCAGCCCTTTCAAAACGTAACCGGAGAAGCCGTTCAGGAACCCCGCACCCGGGCCTTCCAGACCTCCCCAGCCTCCGACCCCAAAGCGCCCCGGACTCAGAACCACGCGTGGCTCACCCGTAAAAAGTTCCCGCCACCCGGCTTTCTCCGCACTCCAGCCGCGAGCATCCACCCTTCCGGGTCGGCCCGGTCCACCAATGGCAAGTCAGACCCTTCTCTAATTGGCCAAGGGGCGTGGCCGCCCTCGCGTCACCGAACAAGCCTCCACATCATTGGTTGATATCGGGAGCGGATTGAGCCAATCGGAAGCCGCCTCCAAGCTGGGATGGGGATGGCTGCGTGTTTCCGGAAGACGTGGCGGCTGTCTCTTGGGTTGCTTCCCGGCTTCAGACTCGCGTCTTTGCTTCACGCCCTGGGCTCCTCGAGGTGCTGTCCTCACCCCAGCAAGGACGCCAGCAGCCATGATCTCCTTAACGGACACCCAGAGTAAGCGCCTGCCCCGGGGTCCCTGCCTTGAGCCCCACAGACCCTTAGCTGGGGCGGGGGCGGGGGCTCTCCCGCCCGTTTCCCCCACCCCCGGGTGCGGGTAAATGAATGAAGCTCCGCATCGGGAGCGGCGGCCCGCGAACCTGAGTTGGGGCTGTGGGAACCTGCCGGGCTGCGGTGGAGGGGCGAGGGCTGGGCTTGCGGGGGCGGACCTGGCCTGGGAGGAGAGGCAGGGGGTGTGGGGAGGCGCCCGGGCCGGGAGAGGGGGAGCCCTCGCCAGGGGTCCGGCCTGCGCGGCTCTCTCGCCCCCAGGGAGATGGGCGCTTTGTTCCCGCGGACCGTCCGCCGCCAGAGAAAGTTTGCTGTGCGGCGTCCGCGGCCCACTCTCGAGGACGTTTCTGGACTTGACTGGCGTGGGGTCCTCTACAAGTTACCGGCTGGTTGTCTGGGAGGCGGAATTTTTAATGCCACCTATTGTAGGCTCTTTTCGAAAATATGCCCACACCCAAAATCTATTCGAATATGTGCCTTTGCCAGCAATGGAAACAACCTTCCAAAAATCCCGTGAAATGACTTCACTTTTCTACCAGCGAAATGCTTCCACAATAGTCAAGTGTCACTTTGCGTTCATTAAAGGATTTCTTTTGTTAATATTGTATATTGTGCTTTGTGGCTGGTTTGATCATTTTTAGCATCTCCTTCTGCCTGCCTCGGAGTTCTTCAGGTCTATGTTATCTCTGAGGTTGGCATTGCTGTGTGTTCCTTTTTCTTTCAATATAACATCGCCACTTTTCTACTTTTTACCAATCTTAATCATTTTTATTTACATGATCTGCCCAACCCTGTGCTACCTGTTTTGGGATGGTTGAGATCGTCTTTTTGTCTCATTTTGCTTTATCAGCCACGCCTTTTATTTCTTATTCTGGTTAATGTACCTGGATTTTCAAGATTTTAAGAACTAAACAGTCTGTTGAAATGAAAATAATACTTCATTTTAAGTGCCTGTTTTAAAGTGGAGTATTAAGGTTTGGTTTCACGCCACAGCCGACTTGAACTTGACAGAGCTCCTAAGGTCCTGCGCCCCAGTCAGGCTCTCTTCCTTCCTGAGATTGGACCAGTCTTCACCTTAGGGCCACCTGCCCTGCCCAGGAAGAGTGCTCATTTTAGTCATTTGGCCTCATCTGTTCTGATCAGAGAAAACCTAAATAGAGTTCTTTAAAAAAAAACAACTGTTATAATAAAAACTAGCAATATCTGCTTTCATATAAATCATTACACTTAATTCTTATAAGAGCCTTATAAGGTAGAGAGGAGTATATCTTTTTTATAAATTAAAGGAGAAAAAAGAAATTCAATGTATGGTCATAAGTAAAGTTACAGAAACAAGAATTGATCCCAGCTCTGCTGGCTTAAAAACTTTGTTCGTTGTACTGTACCCTACTAGCATATAAAAGACGATATAAACTTTGAGATCTTAGAATGATGAAATTCTCCCGTAGCAAAAGTAGTTTCAACAGTAAGATAGATATTTATCTTACAGAATCATTCATTTTTTGGAGAAATTTTGTAGGATATTCAAAGCCTATTTTCTTTATGAAACACAGTGCCCTGTTCCTCTTGATTAAAACCCAAAATTAAAATTAGGTTGCACAAGGAAATTAGCAGAATTATGTACATAAATTGCTAGAATTTATTTCTAATTCTGATTACTTGGAGGAAGTACTTAAACTCTACGTAGCTTTCCTATCTAACTATGAAGTAGTATTATTACTCCTATCTGAGTCCATGATTATTACCTAGATAAAAATGTGAATTATTTATCCTGTGCATAGCCATTCTCTTATGTTGAAGACATAATGAAAAGTGCCTGATTTACATCCTTCCAAAAACCAGAACAAGAGAGTTGGGTTGAAATATGGGCAGGATGGTAAACATTCTCCTCACTTCATTAAATTGATGAGGAAAATGATATTATGCTCTTTGCTGCTCTTCTGCCAAATGTTTTGGATAGAACAGTGGATTGGAACACAAAATGATTAATGAACCAAAAGCTCTTTGGACTTCAAATGGTGCTTGTATGTGTGTTTAACTGCAGGAATTGGCCATCATTCAAGTGATTTGCCAAGATTTTTCTGGGATTCTGATTCTGGGAGAGGGTGACCAACTACTGATCTCTAAAAAATCAATAAAAACTTTTTAAAAAGGCAAAAAACAATTCAGGACTGTTTTAAGGGATCCTATAATAGCATCCTCCTTTCCCCCCAAAAAATACAATATTTATCAAATGGTGCAGAGTGGAGCAGTTCCCTTGCTGCCACTAAATCTTCACTTTATTATGTCACACTAGGGGCCCAGTGCACGAATTTGTGCACCTTGAAAGAAACTGTGGGCCGCAAAGCTGTGGTAGGCACAGGGGCAGGTCTCGGCCCATCCTCCACGCCCCCGCCCACCCCCTCCTGCCACAGCCCCGGTCCCCTGTCTACCGGCAGCCCCTCCCACGTGCTGACAGCACCAGCCCCACTCGCACCCACTGACAGCGCGGAGCAATTGGGGCTGGCGCCAGCAGTGGGTGCAAGTGGGTTGACGCAGTCAGTGGGTGCGAGCGGCGGCTGCTGCCCCAATCGCCCCTCAGAAGCAGCAGGAGGTGGAGAAGCCCTCAGGGGCTATTGGGGCTGGCAGCCGCTGCTTGCACCCACTGACAGCGCCGGGTGCCAGCTGCAGGTGTGAGCAGGGCCGGCACCAGCAGTGGGTGCAAGCAGCGGCTCCAGTGCCATCAGCGGGTGGGAGCAGGGTTGACGCCGACAGCAGGTGCAAGTGCCAGGCAGGACCACAGTGCGCAGGAGCAAAGAATTTTCAGTAACCACCAGAGGCTCACCCCAATGACAGTGACAGGCGCCCCACCTTGGTCTGGCACCCCCACTCACCTGCTCCACCATCCCGTCGCTGCCAAGCCCGCCATGTTCTGCGCTCTGCTGCCTGCTGCCGATGCCCACCATGTTCCGGGAGCGCCCCCTGGTGGTCAGCGCACATCATAGTGATCGGTTGTTCTGCCATTTGGTCTATTTGCATATTAGCCTTTTATTATATAGGATAGCCTGAAATTCCACCATGATATTCATTTGAGTTCAATTCAGTTGATAATTCACTTGAGTTCTTTATTCTGACATTTTCTATTTTTAAAAAGGCATAGAAAGAAAGTGCTGCTTTAAAATATTTAAATCAGATACCAAAATGCTAACAGTAATTGCCATTGAATTAAGCATATCTTTTCCTATAAAATTTCTACAGTAAGCTGTTTATTTTAGACAAATTCATTTTATTAGATTGCTTTTATCAGATTGTTCATTAAACACATACATGGGCAAGAGGAATGAAGGTTTGATAGTGCCTAGGAGGAAGATAAACTTACTTGACTGGGTCTGATTCAGGTGGTGAGAGGGCAGCTCTGTGTAGGGGTTTAATAAACAGTGGGCATATGAATGCACAGGCACAGGGAAGATGAGAAAAAGGCACAGTGCGGCCAGTTTGAGGCTTTTGACCCCTTTAGATCAGGGAATACTTGGCAACATCATGCTAGTGCCAGTTTTGGAAAAGATTACAAAGATCTGCTTGACTACATTAGATAAAGTGGTAGGAATGTTTTGGTTTCCATGTTATAGTTGTTCAAACTGTGGAGTATTATAGACTGGATTTGAGTCCCCGGCCTGATGGCACACCACCACCACCAACTGCCATTCCCCACCCCTGCACCTTCCCCCACATACACACTTGCTGATTCCGTGGTCACGTGTGAGTTACAAATCTCTGTGAGTCTCTGGTTGCCCATATGAAACTTGGGGCCAGTGCTACTTTTTGTCTCACAATTTCTTAAAGGAATTACAACATAATTGTACAAACATTTCATTAAACGTAAAACCATATTTAGACATTGTCCTTTTTCACTGCAGTCAATTTCTTTTTTTAAATATGATTTTATTGATTTTTAGAGAGAGAGAGAAACATCAATCAGCTGCCTCCTTCTGCACATGGATTGAGCCCACAACCTTGGTAAATACCCTGACAAGGAATCGAACTGGTGACCTCTTGGTGCGCAGAAATATGCTCAATCAATTGAGCCACACTGGCAAGAACTGCAGTCAATTTATAATAGTTCTCCTAACACCTACTTAGTTATATTAGATAAGCTAATTATATTAAACTTGAATCAACTTAAGACGATTCCCCCAGAAGTTCGGTGTACTAGTACTCTAATGACCTTGAGTTTCATCTAACCAAACATTTAACCTGAAAATACTGTGGGAAGCGGTATGGTATAATGGTTAAGCACATAAACTTTGGATTCAAATATATCTGCGTTCAAATGCTTAAGGAGAAGTGTGACTTTAGGCAAATTAAGTCAGTTCTCTAAATCTCAATTTCTGGCCTGTCTAAAAGAATTTAATGACACCTACCTTGCAATAGTATTGAAAGGATTAATTTATGTATGGTATGTAAAGCACCTTAAAATGGCTACTTCTATAAAATTCTCAATGCATATAGATGTATTTCCATATAATTTCCTTTCTGAACAAACATCTCACAATTTTGATGTAATTAGTATAATTTGTGAAAAGATAGGAATTAGTCATTTTCATTTAACTCAGCTGCCAATGATTAAATCCTAACTAGTCAGTAGTTACTTAATGAAATTTTACTTGCTCTTATGTCCATATTTTCCTCTGGAAAATAATGTCTGCCATCTAAACAGTTATTTTGGTAAATTTTTTTAAGATCATATTTTTAATATTTTTTATTTGTTTTTTTGTTTGTTTTTCATCCTCACCCGAGGATATTTTTCCATTGATTTTTAGAGAGAATGGAAGAGAGAGGGAAAAACAGAGAAATAGCAATGTGAGAGAAACACATCAATTGGTTGCCACCTGAATGTGCCCAGACCAAGGCCCTGGGAGTAGCCTGCAACCTAGGTATGTGTCCTTGACCGGAATTGAACTTGGGACCCTTCAGTCTGCAGGCCAGCGCTCTATCCACTGAGCCAAACCAGCTAGGGCTTAGTAAATTCTTTTAAAGCACTTAAGCATGAAAGTATCAGCCTCAAATTTTCATAAAATATTAGTGTCTATGGAATACTTCTGAATCCTTTTAGACTTTGGGAGAAAAAGATAGCTTAATGGAAGGCAGTAGTTAACTGTAAATTGAGGAAGTGGAAAATGTAGAAAAAGGTATTGATATAAATTTTAAACTCATCAAAACATTTTACATGTCTTAACATTTTTTTAAGTAGCTGTGACCTGGATTTTACCTTTCTGGAGCCAAGGCAAAGTGGTTAAGATCAGAAATCATTAATAGTGTATTTAAAATTGTATTTCCAAAAGTATTTCTGCGATAATTCATTATGTTATGCAGGTAGGGCTTCTAGGTAAAATGAGGGTTGGTGACTGTTTCCTGAAAACAAAACTAAAATGATCAAGGAGGTGACTTAGTGGATTGATTGTGCTTTGTAGTATTAACATAAAAGTACAACTGTAACCTTAGAAAGTCTATTCTTCAAACTATAAAAGATAAATCCTGGAGAATGTAAAGGCAATAAAATTATTAGCTTTATACACAGACCAGTACACTCTGTTCATTTAAGACATACATGGGCAAGAGGAATGAAGGTTTGATAGTGCGTAAGAGGAAGATAAATTTTTACTGGGTCTGATAGTACTTAGAACAGTTGCCTGCATCTAGGAGTTGATCAACAATTCTTTGTTTCTGAATGAAAGAACAAAAAATCAATATTATTATTAGATAAAACAGTGTTCTTTTAAACTTTGGAGAGGTGATTTAAGGACTAGATTAAATATGGGAATAGATTCATAGTTTAGATATGTTTGTAGAAGATAAGTCCATAATAAGCCACCAAGAAGTTAAAAGTGATATCTAACCTTTTGAAACTTAACTTTTGAGGAGACCACTACCTGATTCTCAAAATATTTCCTATTGCCACTATATTGAAGTATATTGTACTAACCTACTATAGTAATTTCTAATGGGTTAAAGAAGGCATTTTAGAGGGAAAGGAAGAAACTGCAGATATCACCTGTATAAATAATAGTTATAGAATATGATAAGGAATAAATAGCAAAAGTAAACTCATATTTTTATTCTGATGCCAAAGGGATTTTTGTAAGGGAAAAAGATATATATAACCAAAGTTTTAGAATTCTGATTTATCTTTCTCTATTATGGTATTTTTAAGAAATGTACTCTTATGTAAGAACCAGAGGCCCGGTGCATGGATTCGTGCACCAGTGGGGTCCCTCGGCCTGGCCTGCACCCTCTCACAATCCGGGACCCCTCAGGGGATGTTGGTCTGCTGGTTTTGGCCCAATCTCCACAGGCCAGGCCAAGGGACCCCACCAGGCCTCTAGTATGCATATAAGATCTTTAGTTAATCTCTTCCCACCCTCCCTCCTACCCCCTTCTCTCTGAGATTCATCAGTCTGTCCCATGTTTCCATGCCTGTGCATTGAGCGTCTGCCCCCTGGTAGTCAGTGCACATCATAGCTACCAGTCAAATGGTTGAATGGTCAAACGGTCGCTTAGGCTTTTATATATATATACTAGAGGCCCGGTGCACAAAAATTTGTGCACTCAAGGAGGAAGGGGGGGGGGGTCCCTCAGCCCAGCCTGTGCCCTCTCGCAGTCTGGGACCCCTCGGGAGATAACGCCCTGCTGGGTTAGGCCTGCTCCCGGGTGGCAGAGGGCAGGCCCAATCCCTAGGTGCAGCCCCTGGTCAGGCTCAGAGCAGGGTCGACTGGGGAGTTGGGGCGCCGCCTCCTGTCACACACAGAGCAGGGCCCATCAGGGGGGTTGGGGCTCCATACCCTGTCACGCACAGAGCAGGGTTGATCAGGGGGTTGGGGAGCTCCCCCCTGTCACGCACAGAGCAGGGCCCATTAGGGGGGTTGGGGAGCTCCCCCTGTCACGCACAGAGCAGGGCCCATCAGGGGGTTGGGGAGCTACCCCCTGTCACACACAGAGCAGGGCGGATCAGGGGGTTGGGGCGCTGCCCTCTATCACCCACAGAGCAGGGGCGATCAGGGGGTTGGGGCGCCGCCACTTTCACACTCAGGGCAGGGCCAATGGGGAGGTTATGGCTCTACCCCATCACACACAGAGCAGGGCCCGTGGGAGGCGGGGGAGTTGGGGCGCCACCCGCTATCACTCACAGAGCAGGGCCAATCGGGGTTGGGGCGCCGCCACTCTCACACTCAGGGCAGGGCCGATGGGAAGGTTATGGCTCTACCCCGTCACACACAGAGCAGGGCCCGTGGGGCGGGGGGGTTGGGGCGCCGTACCCTGTCACACACAGAGCAGGGCCGATCAGGGGGTTGGGGCGCCGCCCCCTGTCACACACAGAGCTGCAGGGCGATCAGGGGGTTTGGGCGCTGCCCCCTGTCACGCTGATCCCGGTGCTGGGAGGCATATTACCCTTTTACTATATAGGATAGAGGCCTGGTGCACGGGTGGGGGCTGGCTGGTTTGCCCTGAAGGGTGTCCTGGATCAGGGTGGGGGTCCCCACTGGGGTGCCTGGCCAGCCTGGGTGAGGGGATGATGGCTGTTTGCAGCTGGTCACACACCCTTCAGGGTAGGGGTCCCCACTGGGGTGCCTGGCCAGCCTGGGTGAGGGGCTGAAGGCTGTTTTCAGGCTGGCGGGTGACTGAAGCTCCCAACCGCTCTTTTTTTTCTTTTTTTTTTTTTTTTTTATTCTGGGCCAGCTTTAGCTCTGGCTCCATCTCTGAGGCCTCTGCTGCTGAAAGCAGGTATCTGGTTTGTTTGGGTTCTATAATCGAAACACTGTATCAACTCCAGCTCTGAGATCCCGGCTGGCTGAAAGCAGGTTTCTGGGGTTTTGTTTAGCTTCTATATTTGTAACAATGTTTCAAACTGCAAGCTCAGAGGCCAGCAGCGGCAGGCGGGGAACGTTGGCTTCCTCCGTCACTGAAGCAAGCAAGCCTCATGTTCGCTTCCAGCTGCCTGGCTGCCGGCCGCCATGTTGGCTGGCAGTTAATTTGCATATCGCCCTGATTAGCCAATGGGAAGGGTAGCGGTCGTACGCTAATTACCATGTTTCTCTTTTATTAGATAGGATAGATTAGAAATTTCCATTTATATTTTAAATTTCAATGAAATTGTTGATGTTAATTTGTTGTAGATGTTAGTGAATGTCATTATAAAGTTAATCTGCAATGTTGGAGACTTTTTTCTTATATCAGCCAAAAGAAAAACTGAAGAATTATCTTAGTTTACAGAAATTTTAATGGAACCAAAATGTTTCTCTACCTTTAACCATATAACTTATATTGCAGAAATTGGAATGGGATTAACAGGATTTGGAGTGTTTTTCCTGTTCTTTGGAATGATTCTCTTTTTTGACAAAGCACTACTGGCTATTGGAAATGTGAGTTTTTCAATATGTATTTTAACTAACTTCATAAGAAAAAGTTAGCTATAACTGAATTCTTGCCTGCTATTGAATTTAGGTGAAATAATTCACTACTACTCATGTAAAAATTTCTCTTACATTCTCTGTTTCCATCAGAAATGAAACCCGTTAGCTTTCTGTTTAAGGTAAACACTTTAATGAGGTTTTCTAATTCCATGATTATGTTAAGTGTTTGATATGTGATTTACAATAGAACAGTGGTTCTCAACCTTCCTAATGCCGCGACCCTGTAATACAGTTCCTCATGTTGTGGTGACCTCCAATCATAAAATTATTTTCGTTGCTACTTCATAACTGTAATTTTGCCACTGTTATGAATCGTAATGTAAATATCTGATATGCTATATGTGTTTTCTGATGGTCACGACCCACAGGTTGAGAACTACTGCAATAGAATAAGTCAAGGCAGCCTCTAAATAGGAGTTAAAAATAGATGACTTGGGGGCATCTGTAATAGTCTCAACAATAAAGATTTTTTTAAAAAATAGATGACTTGATAGCCCCCATTGAATATCTTTGACAAGTGTATATTACCATTGGGCTTTTAATTGCAAATTGGTAAATATAAAGGAGAGCAAAATTATTCAAAATTGATGTTATAATAAATAATGTAAACAGCATTGGTATCTCAGAATCTGAAGCTTAACCATTGACTTATTAATCAATATATATATGAAATATTTTTCACTAAAGAAAGTTAATGAAGAAAAACAAGGATTTGGGAATAAAACTTGGGGAAAAACACGTTTTCTAATAGATCACTATTTCTTGTCCACTGTCTGAAAACATGCAAAATATATGTGTATTTGAGAACACGTAGCTGTATTTTTATTACTGCTGCTACCAGGTATTCTAGCTTCGCATAGTTTCTTCTTCTGTCACCTTCGCCACATCAGTATTTCTCCCATCCACAGGAGTGCCTATAGCTCAGGGTGAAGTTTACAGAACTTGGAGCACCTTTAGGTGACATATTTATAGGCAGCTTCCCTCTTTTGTCTTGCCATTCATCTGTTTGACTAAGCCATCTCCATCTAGCTTAACCCTGGGAAAACCACTGCTGATGCAGATGCTGGTTGGTAACCTCTAATCTTTCCTTGTTTCTCTTTTTTTCCATTTACTCAAGTTAGAGGAGGATTGAGAAGAGTGCAGTACTACTACAGCGTTCACATGCTTAGCCCACTCCTTGGTTCTGCTTCTTGGTGTGCATTGTAGTTTTCTCTGCCCAGTTGCCACAGTGAAAACTAGATGTGCTCCTTTTTTTAAAAATACTTAACTTTGACCTTCAAATTTATGTAGTGTGCTTACTTACTTTTTCTGTGTTGCATTTTCTTTCTTCTTTAGGTTTTATTTGTGGCTGGCTTGGCTTTTGTAATTGGTTTAGAAAGAACATTCAGATTCTTCTTCCAAAAACATAAAATGAAAGCCACAGGATTTTTCCTGGGTGGCGTATTTGTAGTCCTTGTTGGTTGGCCTTTGATAGGTATGATCTTCGAAATTTATGGATTCTTTCTTTTGTTCAGGTAAGGCACTCATTTTATTTGTTTTCTTTCAATAAAACAGTATGTCAAATAATTACAAAACCCAGATAGTTGTATCAGCATGAGTAAGAAGACTATAATTTTCTTATATGGATTCTTGTTTACACTGCATCTTTTATTATTATACTTTTAGGTAATTTAATCAACTATAAAATGTTTTATCAGGTGTGAATAATTGCCTGTTTAAAGCTATGAATTATCTTGTAAAGAATTTTCAATTTAATAAAATTAATTTTATTGGCCTTTTAAGGCACTGTCTTTATGTTTGCTATTTGCATCAACTAAAAGTGATAGATAAATAGATATATAAATATACCCAACATTTTAATATGTAGAACCTGATACTGCATAGTTACTGCCACTTGATGGCAATTTCTTTAGTGCTTATACATATTAGAAAATTTTGTACTATATATACTCTGGGAGATTTTGGTCAGTTAATATTTTACAAATGCCAGTTACCAAGTGAATAAACAATAGAATGTAATTTAAGAAAATACCTTTAAGTACGATTGGTTTAAAAATTTGTTCAGAGAATGTATATATTTTGTCTTCTATCTGTCAGGCACCATATTACCCACAGGAGACATAAATATTAATTAAGTGCCAAATCTGCTTTAGAGAATCTCATTTTTAATATAGAAAATACATAAAGAAACTAGTAGGATATAGTAGTAATGCTATATATACATATATATGTAAAATTTTATAAGAACATAATTAAGGAAGGAATCAAATCCTGGGAGAAAAGTTAACTGAAGTTTAAAGTCTCTAAAATATTCAAATTTTGACAGGTTCTTTTTACTTAATTAGCAATTGATTTTGGTAATAAAGAACGTATAAGTACAGAGAACTGTTTTTTCTTCTCCTAGGGGCTTCTTTCCTGTGGTCGTTGGCTTCATTAGAAGAGTGCCAGTTCTTGGATCTATCTTGAATTTACCCGGCATTAGATCAGTAAGTAATCTGTATTTAAAAATATAATCTTTAAACCATCAAAATACTCTTCAATGCTCTTTACTTCCAGAAATTAGAGTAATTGATAACATGATTAATTGATGTTTTTATTACAATATAAATGGTTGCAGCACATAGATCACGGTAACCATGAATACCAGAGAAAATAGTCATTGGTAAATCTATAAAGCCTGAAATTTTGTTTCACTGTATTCCTTTTTAATACTGTTCTCTATTTTTTAATACAACTTGGATTGATATGCTATGCTACCTTTCACTTTGAGAGTTCCAGGTACTTTTCAGGTAACTTTTATGTCCTCTCTAATTTTAGAAGCAATAACATGAAAATGATATTATTTCTTACGAATATTTTCTTTCTTAGACCATCTCACCAAATGAGGTGTATTAAGACAACTAAATGGAGCACTGTTATACTGAAAGTCAGATGATAAAATTCTGTCCCCAGCTCTCTATGAGTTGGACACTCTTAGCAAATCTGTTTCTCCAGTGTGAGTGTAAACTTGTTTGTAGATTTTTGTAGATGTTTCTAGAGAGACAGGCCATAACATTTACTGAATTCTCAAAGAACTAAAGGTACTACTATAAGCCAATTTTTTTTTTAATCCTCAAGTCAATTGTAGAGTCAAACTTGCAGCCCACACAACCTACATATTAGAAGTTACCTTTGAAGAGGGAATGTTGTGCTTTCTCACCAACTAAATTTACCTTAAAATTCTAATGAATCTATGAGTACTTTCAGAGCAACTTTTAGTTTCAGAGTACCAGTCACTTATTTACCATGATATAAAATAACATAAAACAAGGTGTTGGAACCTAGGTTTACAGGGATATATCCTGATTTTATTGGCATTGATCTCCAAACTCATAAAGTACCAGCGGTTCTCAACCTGTGGGTCGCGAACAATGAAAATACATCCTGCATATCAGATATATTCATTACGATTCATAACATTAGCAAAATAACAGTTATAAAGTAGCAATGAAAATAATTTTATGGTTGGGGGTCACCACAACATGAGGAACTGTATTAAAGGGTCGCGGCATTAGGAAGGTTGAGAACCACTGTGAGTAGTCAATGCTGTTTATACTTAGCATGGCTTTTGGAATTACTAAAACTTCTAGTTATAGAATTGTAATAATTATTCATGTCCTTAATTTAAGGACTCTTCGATATTTGCATAGATGGACACCCAATGCTAAAAGTTATGTTTCCTATTAATATTATTTCATTATAATAAAATATTTAAGTAAAAACATGATTAGTGAAATGAAAGAATTAGATGATTGCTAGACTTGATAGTATTATAGATTTGATGGTTGCATGACTTTTAATATCTCCACTATTACTTTGCTTCAATATTTGTTTGCATCACCATCTGGAATGCTTAATATTTGGGATGGAGTAACCAAAGTAAATAACCACTTACATGTATATGTATTAAAATTGTAAATTTATGCTTGTACCCTTACATCTATTTTTAATGTCATTGCCACTTTCAGTCCATAGTCCAGTTACACATTTAAAGTATTTTTAGTCAATAGCTGCTGTTAATTATTGTACTTAATGGACTTAAATCTGTTTGTTCAAAGACTACATAGGCCCAGAAGAGATCCACAGTCATGGTCAGTTGAAATATCTTATTGGGTTCATTAATGAATGATTGGCTGTGACATTTCAGCTTTTTAATTTTTTATTTTTTTCTTAAGCTATCAGTGTTAACTTCATTTTATCCAGTTTTTTTTCCCATTGTGTTGTATTTCTCATGTCGCACCCTTAAAGTCATATGTATAGCATGTCATGCAAAAATAACTTTTAGAAAAAAAATTTTTTTATACACATTTACGTGTCAGAAGATGGTGGTGAGTAGTACTGGATTAATCATTGTCAGTCATACCTTAAATTTCCACAAATCTTGTAAAGCTGAGTTTTTAAATTAACATTTAAAATGTTGATGTAATATTTAATAATGCTGAAGGCTTTCTTTTGTCTGTTTTTCTTCTTGCAGTTTGTAGATAAAGTTGGAGAAAGCAACAATATGGTATAACAACAGTACATTGAAGACTCATTTAAAATATTGTATTATTTATAAAATCTTTTGAAGAATATCCAGCACAGATTAAATTACATGAAATAGCTTGTAATGTTCTTTACAGACATTTAAAATGTATACCTACAAAGTACCAACAACAGTTAACAAAGAAGCAGTGACAACAGGCTTCTAATCAGGTGATGTAAGAAGACAGCAAGCAAACTGAAGGAGATGAAATCTGTTACATTGCATATTGAAACTCTTGAAGGCGATTTTTAATTTTTTTCCACAATGTGCGAAACACAACTATCCTCAGAGAGCTATGGTGCCTGATTCCTTTTTATTTTTTTTATTTTGAAGATTCAGGGGCACCCATAGGCATTTGCTTTTTAGAAATGTCCACTGCAACTGGAAAAATATTTCCATTTGCACCGTGTCTCCGAAAGTGATGCATGGGTTAGATTGGATTATGTCATGTCATTTTAATGTATTAAAACCTAGGAAAACCCAGTTTTGATATATGGATCACTTTTTTTGGTAAACTTGGTGAAGATAAAACTGTTGCGATTCTTCTGAGTCTTAATATTTTAAAGCCAGATGAAAATATGAACTAGATATTCTCTGTTGGAGTATGCAAAGGTCATTCTTTACTAGCTTTTAGTTTCTAAATTATAGCTGACTATGCACTTCTTTGGTCAGCAACACACTCTGGAAATACTCTTACTTCTTGGGAGTCTTAAGACTGTATTTGTATCATTTGTTACATATAGGCATCTAACAAAAAGCATTCTTGACAATGAAGTAGTCTGTTACGTAGCTTGTTTCATTGAATAGGGTGTTATTTAAAACATTAATTGCAAACCAAAAGGATTTTCCTGTCATGATGTAGATTTTTTTTTCTTCTATTTAAAAAAAAAAATTAGCAGTGGTTTATTATGTTTTTTACAAACTAAAATAACTAACTTGGTAATGTTTACTTTAAGACATAACATGTTAAAAGGTTCAACTTACAGCTATTTTTTAAGGGCTATTCATGTAAGCTGAGTTTCCCCTTATTTTCAGCTTTTTCATAACAAAAATCAATAGGTATGCTTCATATGATCACTCTTCATCTTAAGTCATAGAGAAAATATCTGAGTTCACATGCTGAGGCCGTTTTACTGTAATTAAACTGGTTATTATTTCTTAAAAATATGACACTAAAAAAATGATGTGTTGTTCTTTTCTACCGTTGCTGCTTGACAGGCAGAAAGAAACTGGTTGTTTCTTCATTAGTAGTTTTCCACAGTGGCAACTTGTGTGGTGGATATAGGAACACATTTCAGCAGCCATAGTACTATTTGTTTTACCACTAATGAGTGCACTATTTACTTTTTTTTTTTTTAACAGTAAAGCTTTTTAATACATGAAATCATAATTGAAATTTGTGGGTTTAGTTACAAACATGTCTACAAAATGTATTACACCTTATGTTACTTTTAAGTTAAATCTTTTGATGCACAGAGAATTCCCAGCCTTGCTCATTTAAAGAAGGACAGACTTGGTGTATAACCTAATGGTTCAGTCTTGTGGATTACTGTCTTTTTGGTACTGGCGTATGATTTAAGGCATAATCTGTGAAATCTAGATGATATTGATGAAATAAGACTCCTACCTCAATAGTTCATGGAATATTAAGAGACTTAGTAGTGTGTCTAATGTTCTTCAAAAGAATAAAATCCTCACTTGGAGAGTGTCAAATATATTTTGGGGACTGACTTACACAAGTTTCCCTGTAGGACTCTGTTAAACATATTTTTGACTGACCCTTACTATTTACAAAGACTAGATCATTCTACCTTTTTAGGGCAAAATAGTATCTGTTAATGTAAGGAACATCTGTATTATTTAACTCTTTTGTGGACATGAATTTCTACCAAAATGTTCTTTGCAAAGTAACAGAGATCTCTTTTCAACAATCTTATTTCAGAAAGCATTATCAGACAGAAGCGTGTCAAGGACTTATTAATCTACTGGTCCTTAGTAAGATTGAGAGGCTGGAGCAGTTTTTCAGTTTTATGGAGACCATGTTTAATCTCAAATGTGAGTTTGGGACTGCATGGCAGCATTGTATGTTTCTTATTCAGAACCATTGAGGAGGCTCTATTTTTAAACATACTAGTCCTCCACTATTTCAGTTTTTCTAAACCATGTTGATTTTTCCTTTCCAAAATTAGCCTTCTGTCTTCATGACAAAAAAAAAGAAAAGATTATTGCTATAAAGATGGAGGAAAAGGTGTAATTTTACTTAGCCTTAAAAGTATCTGTCATTGTTCAAATGTATTTTCTGTAACAGAAACCTATTTGGAATGTTTTTCTTTTTTCCTTATAAATTGTAATTCCTGGAATACTGCTGCTTTAAAAAAGTCTCACAGTCAGACTGTCTGATCTAACCATTGAATATTGTAAATACACTTGTCTTATCTCTCAATAAAAGGGTACTTTTCTATTAATTGCTTGTTGTCTTAGTGAGCTGGGCTCCTACGACAGAATTCCATGGACTGGATGACTCAAACAACAGACATTTATTTATTACAGTTATTGATGCTAAGAAGACCAAAATCAAGGTGCTAGCAGATTCACTTCCTGCTGAGGACCCTTTCTCTTGCTGGCTGCCTTCTCATTGGCTCCTCACATGGGAGAGAAAGGCTCTGGTCTCTCTTCCTCTTCTTACAAGGACACTAATCCCATCATGGAGGGCCCTACCTTTGTGCCTGCAACTAAACCTAATTACCTCTCAAGGCCCCATCTCCCAAGTACTATCATACTGGGTATCAGGGCTTCAATAAGAATTTTGGAGGGGTACACTTTAAGTCCATAACAGTGGTCAAATGTATCATTATGAGATTCTAAAAATTGATTTAGCGTTATACAATAATCCACCCTTTTTCTAATGTAATTTAATTTTTTTTTATAAAATGGTCATCAAATCTTCCATTTCCAAGTTGTATAAATGTAATCAACTAGAAGTAAACTTCGGGTAAACCAAAAAAGTAGGCAGTAAATTTAGAAATGAGTCGAGCAATGCTTAAATATTTTTTCCTCAAGGTAGAAGTAATATACACTTGGATTATTTAAGTATTTGTGACTTAAAACCACTTAACATCTGCAGTGTTTTGCTCACAGATTTTGATAAGGCCAAAAAAAAAAACCTTGCCAAGTCTACCACTTAAGTTAAGGTCCCCAATAAATGTTTGTTGAATCCAATTAAACTGTAAGTCTTGACTATTGTCCCATGAACTCGAAGTCTTGAATCTGTTATTAAATATCCAGCATATCTTTCTAACTTTGTCCTCGGGGCTGAAAGGTTCCAACCTCGGCCCTTTTGCTACCTGTATCCATGTAGGAGGTTGTACACAGAAGCAGCATGCCCCAGAATCCTTAAGACTCACTGACACACTTCCATAACCTTACCTTTACTGCCTCTCAAGACATGATTAAAAGGTCACCTCTATTCACCTTTTTTGACCCACTAGGCGAGTGGTTCTCAACCTTCTGGCCCTTTAAATACAGTTCCTCATGTTGTGACCCAACCATAAAATTATTTTCGTTGCTACTTCATAACTGTAATGTTGCTACTGTTATGAATCATAATGTAAATATCTGATATGCAGGATGGTTTCAGGCGACCCTTGTGAAAGGGTCGTTTGACTGCCAAAGGGGTCGTGACCCACAGGTTGAGAACCACTACACTAGGCCAAAACAGCTGGTCCTCTCATAGAACTTTCTGCTTATTTTTGTCTTTATTTGGTTATGGAAAAGAGATTCTTGTGGTTTAAGTAAAAGGACAGTGGTAAAGACATTGGCCAATGAATGGAGAATTTTATTTTATACTAGAGACCCGGTGCACAAAAATTTGTGCACTCAGGGGGGCGGGGGGGCTCTCAGCCCGGCCTGTGCCCTCTTGCAGTCTGGGACCCCTCGGGGGATGTCCATCTGCTGGCTTAGGCCCGCCCCCTGGGGGATCCGGCCCAAGCTGGCAGTCAGACATCCCTCTGGCAGCCCGAGAGCCCTTGGGGGATGTCCACTTGCCAGCGGGGAGCAGGCCTAAGCTGCAGTCAGACATCCTCAGCGCTGCTGAGGAGGCAGGAGAGGCTCCTACCACCACCGCTGTGCTGGCAGCCATCAGCCTGGCTTGTGGCTGAGCAGAGCCCCCCCTGTGGGAGTGCACTGACCACCAGGGGGCAGCTCCTGTATTGAGTGTTTGCCCCCTGGTGGTCAGTGTGTGTCATAGTGACCAGTCATTCCCAGTCTTTCTGCTGTTAGGGTCAATTTGCATATTACCCTTTTATTATATAGGATAGCAGGCCGCCTCAGTGTCCCTAAAGCCCCTCCTAAAATTGGTAGGCCTTGGGAAAATGACCCCTTTCACCTTTTTGTGAAACAACTGGCCTGTGGGACAAACTGACCTTGGCACAGAATCAGGCCAAAGGAGGAGCTCAAACCCAATGATGTCATTCATACTATTTCAAATTCCTCTCTATTCTTTCATCAAAGAAGCAATTTGGGTATGTTCGTATTATAATAGCCATATTGCCCAGGTAACCTAACCCAAGATAGGGGCTGTTTTCTATGTGGACACAATAACCACTGACCTTGTAAGAATGCAGTTTCAACAACAGTTATTGTTAAAATGGGGCCTGAGCACCCTGGAGTCAACTAGAAAAATTCAGATAACATCAGCTATGCAGGCAAAATGGTCTCATTGAATATGCCTATTCAAAAGGCTTAGGATCCAATTTGTTCAAATGCCCACTGCCTGGTCAGCAGAATAAATGTCAGCAGAATAAAACTGAGTGGTTAAATCCATCAACTTTTTTTTTTTTAATCAAATTTCTTAGCCCATCTCTAGGTTTAGACCTGTAAAAATCTTAAAATTTTGTGATTTAACAAAAACATCTTATTGGCAGTCAATGCCCTTTTAGAACAAACACATTCTGGCATGCTACTTTTGATAAGACTACAATATTGATAATCTGTCAAAGCTATTCTCTTCACTTGTGCATATTATCCCGAAAATGGCAGCATTGACGTCAAACATCTGCCTGTGAACTCGTTAGCTAAACTGTTATTAACAAACTGCATTCATTTACTTTCCTTTAAAATTGGAAATTCAAAACAGTTTTAGTGGCAACTCATTTTCCTGTTCCCCTTTATTAAACCTTTGTGTGTCTTTGGTGTGGAGAGAGGAAAAGGGCATTTTACTTGTTTGTTAGGTAACCTAGTAATTGGGTTTCATTTAAGAGTTCATTTAAATCATAAACACATGCATACTTCTATTTAGTTTATTGTTCTTTTTTTGGAAGTTGCTACAATCCCTTGAAATTAAATCCTAATATTTAAAGAAATATTTATATTTTGTCCAGTTTGGGTGTTAACCTTTTAGTCTTTAATTTTTTTTAATCTTTCCCCTCTCTTAAGACAGTGGAAAACATTACAAGCTTTGACTCTTTCTTGTTGATTCTTTAAAG